CCTATCGTGCTGGGCCAAACATGTTCCAAGCCGTCGTGCCAACCAGAGCTCTTTCCCCCATCCACGACTGCCCGCACAGTATTCACATCGGTAACCGTCATCAAGACAAAATGCCCGCGCCGACCCCTCCCCACCCTGCTTCGTGAGCATCTTCCTTCGCCCAGCTTGCTCCACAGCGCCAGTTTTCCCTTCTCTTTGACCTCTTTTGACCACGCGAGCGTTGCCTGTTGCCTGGGCTCCGGTCCCTGATCTTCGAGCTGGCCTCTTGTGCCCTTGTTCGACCCCACACGCCACGTCCGTCATCTTCCTGGGAAGCCTTACCCACACGTCTTTCAGCTGCAGAGCCACTGTGTTTGAGTGTCTTTTTTCAAGCTCCTCCCTGGCGCATCGTCCGCTTTCCCATGCCCTTGCCCCCCCGCTCCCACATTTGAGTTGGCCTTTCATCGTGTGCAGTTCCCGTCCTGACCGTCATTTTTTTTTTCTCGGCCAAGCCTACTGCTGATGCTGCATGCCACTTCCACTTGACCTCGCTCGCAACCGCCCCCTTTCTGCTCGGCTTGCGGCGACTGTTTCCGCTCCATTACCTTTCACCTGTCATCATGGCTCGTCTGGTGGCCCTCCATCTGACCGTCGCCATACTCTTATGCGGACCCTGCGCATCCGCTCTGACTTCCTTTGAAACCAACTTGGTAGGGTAGCGTGCCCGCGACCCTCAGCGACCGCCGTGTAGATCAACCCGTGGATCCCCATGCTCGTCCCAAACCTCATCCTCTCGGCATTTGCTTGCCGCCCCTGTTGAGCTAGCTAGAAACCGAAGACTGCTTCCGCTTTGAGATGCACGATGAAGGCTACAAGCTCGTCTCTGGCACCAACCGGGAAAATGCCCTGCAAATCAATCCCTGCCCCCTCGGTACGCGGCACATTCCCATACGTCTTTGTGTCAATCTCGCTTGGTGAAAACTCGGTCATCTGATTGCCACTTGCTCGGAATAGCTGGCCGCTGCAACGCCATTCAATTTGGCGAATGCGAGTCGGGAAGCACTCGCATCTGCCTGAACTTTGAGCCCTGTCAAAGTAATAACAACGGCTGCGTCCGCCTCATTCGCAAGGACGCCCAAACTGAAATCGGCAGCTGGAAAAAGCTGGTGCGAGCTTTTCAACACTATTCTCGTTCACCCCCTTTTCCTTCCCCTCGCCTCACGACACACCGGTCCTCACCAAAAACACCAACACGCACCCATTCCTCAGGGCAAGTTCTACTTTCGTTGCGAAGATGGTCGTACCCTGGATGACCTGGTTGATACAGAGGAGGGTGCCACCATCCTCTCCACCCTAAAGCGTGACCTTTTGGATCACTGCGACCTTGACGTAAGAGCATTGCACTTTTGCCAGAGGATGGCTCACAGTCATCTGGCTCCACACTCACAAAGGCTTTCAACACAGTTCCCCGAATGCGAACTGGGCATTGAGCAAGCGCTCCTGCGCACCCGCAAGAAAGATGCTCGTGTCAAGTACCCTCTTGAAGACAAGGATCATCACCGGGCCATCAAGAAATGCCTGAAGCAACAGCCATTAACCATTGGCCAATGCGTTTTAAGCTTTAAAAGTATGTATAGTGCCCTCTGCTTCAAATACGAAACTGCGCCCCTTACCAGTCTTGGCCCCTCACTTGCTTGGGCTTGTCGCGCAGAACCCAACGAGCTCAGTTCCTCTACGACTACCACCACTACTACCACGACTACCACCACTGAATCAACTACCACCACCACTACCACCACCACTACCACCACTGAATCAACTACCACCACTACTACCACTGAATCAACCACTACCACCACTGAATCAACCACTACCACCACTGAATCAACCACTACCACCACAACCACCACAACCACCACTGAATCAACCACTACTGAACCAACTACCACGACTACCACCACCACAACCGAGCCAACCACCACTACTACCACTACCACGGAACAGGAGGAAGATGACGACAACAATCAGGCAAGTCTTCGCCAACCTGACCCGCTTGCCAGCTGACTATTGGTTCTCTCACCGTCCAACTTTGTTGTGATTCCACAGCAAGGGGGTCCCTACTGGAGTGAACTTCCAGGGCTGCCTGATGACCTCTCCGAAGTGACGTCAACCGTCTACGATGACGTCTTGTATGTTATCGGTGAGACCAGCGGTGCCACGCTGGCTCTGGATCTCAACTCGCAGCAATGGAGCTTTAAGGCTCAACGACCTCACGCCGGTCACCATGGCGTCGGTAAGTAGTGCATAGCAGTAGGCGTGCGTTGGCGTGCTTCATTTTCCATGTGGCTCGTATAACCTCCGTAACAATCATACTTTCGCTTGATTGGCGCCACCTGGGCAGGTGTGGTCTATCAAAACAAGTGGTGGGTCTTTGGTGGCTTCGGGTCAGACGGCAAGGTTCAAGTCTACGATTTCGCTCAAGATTCTTGGGAGCTCAAAACGGAGTGCCCTGCCAAGGTGGGCAGCACCAACGTGGCCCTCTTTGGCAATACTCTGTACCAGTGCGGTGGCATTGAGAATGGTGACACGATTTCCGAGTGCTACACGTACGACATGGACGGCGATTCGTGGTCCCAGATTGGAGACATGCCCATGGGCATGAACCATGCCGCCTTTGCCGGCGATGCCGATGGCAACTTTTGGATCTTTGGTGGCCGCCAGGGAGGCAACGTGGTGGGCAACGGTTTTGAGATGGTACAAGTAAGCCAGTCGTCTCAGTGCCTGCATGTTGCGTGCTCTTTTTTTTTTTTTTTTTTTTTCTTTTCTTGCCTGATTGATTGACTGACTTTGCAACTTGCGTGGGACAGAAATATTCCACGACTACCAACACTTGGGAGACGAGCAGTACTTCCAGCTTGGCTCCGATGCCCCATCAGATTGGAGGCACAGGGCCTGCAGTCTACTACCAGGGCAAGCTGCTTGTGATGGGCGGTGAGACACTGAACAATCCGGATGGTGAGGCTGCTGACGGCAATGTCTTTCCCCACGTGCTTCTCTATGACATTGCGAGCAACTCGTGGCTGGAGGATGCTATTCCACCCTTGCCCACACCTCGCCATGGCATCTATGCCGAGGAGTACAACGGCCGCGTTTATGTCGCTGGTGGTGGTGTCAACGCCGGCTATTCTCAATCAACGGCTGTTGAGGTCTTGGATTTGGACCGCTGGCTAAGCGATAATGGCATGTAAAAGATGATGTGCTTCATGAATTAGGCTGGACCCTGGTGGTCTTGTTTGTGTGTGACTTGTGACTTGTGTGTATGCATGCATAACTTGGATCTGATCCCTTTTTTTCGAGTGAGTTTGAGGCCCTGTGCACGTGGGACATTGAATGTCTTTGAGCTTGAACACCCTCGCCGCTCGACTTGCAACAGTGGGTCAGTCAGATCCAATGTCAATTTCACGTCATGGGGAGCAAACTCAAACATCCCCCAAAGCAGATGGATCGCAAAGCAAGGAAGACAAGGCTTCACCAAAAAAGAAAGCGTGACACAGCAGCCGGTTATGTTAAGTTAAGGGAGACCCCAGCTAGGCCACACGCTTAGCGGCAAGGCTGCACAGCAGGACCCGCGTTGAACGAGGGCGGATGGGTGTTGGACTCGGGCCCAGTGACGGACTGCGGAAGCATGTTTTGGCACACGTGTTCAAGGCAAACATCACGGATGGCTCGCCAAAGGGGCTCAATCTCCAGCAAAATGAGGCGGCTGGCCTCTTGACCCTGCAGGAGGCGGCGGAGGCCAACGTGCACGGCGACGAAGATACGGTGAAGGTGGGCGTCGGGCCCAATGGCGGGACCCAACGGGCCGAAGCGGGTGTGGAGAGGGCCCGGTGGGGCGTTGGCGTTGTGCGTGAGAAGGTAGCACTGAAGGCGAGGCGCCGCAATATGGGGCAGGACGTCAAGCCAAACGGCGTGAAGGCGCCGAAGGTTCGGCAAGGAGGGAAGGTCAGGAGCGGCATTGGCCAGGGTGGCCAGGCCCATGCCTTGAAGTTGAATGGAGGGGATGTGGCGAATGGCAGCCAGGACGGTGCTGACGTGAGTACGCGGAACGTCCTTTTCGAGTTGAAGTGCGAGGTGGCTCAAACGCTCCGCGGCGATCAGGCGCTGCGCCACGAGCGGTGCGTGGGTGCCATTCACGAGGACGGTGAGTTGCTCAAAAAAGGGCCATAGTTGGCCCCACGCATTCAAAAAGCGCTGGTGGGCGGCTTGTTTCCAGCGGGAGGGCCCGGTGAGGGCCACGACACAACCCCGGGCTTCAGCAGCTTGGCACCAGTGAGTGAGTTGGGCAACGGCGGCGTCAGTGGCGTTTTGCACAAAGAGGCCCCCGACCTGCAGGCGAATGGTGTTGCCCCGGCGAAGAGTGGCAGGCTCAACGCGACACAGGGCCGCCAGGGCGGTTGGGGTCAGCAAGAGGCGGGTGAGACTGCTTTGTCGCAGAACCTTGGCAACAAGGGTGTCTGATTGAAGTAGGCCATGATGGTCCAAAGCTTCAAGGGAGATCCAACCGGGACGAAAAAATGGCACGAGCACGGTCAGGACACCACGATGCGGGTCACGCCCTGGCTGGTGCTGGTGCTGGTGCTGGTGCTGGTGCTGGTGCTGGTGCTGGTGCTGGTGCTGGTGCTGGCGCTGGTGCTGGCGCTGGTGCTGGTGCTGGTGCTGGTGCTGGTGCTGGTGCTGGTGCTGGTGCTGGTGCTGGTGCTGGTGCTGGTGCTGGTGCTGGTGCTGGTGCCGTGTATGAAAGCGACAAACGACGGGTTGGCCGACGGCGGTTGCAAAGCGTTGGAGACGAAGGCGATCGTAGAGCCGAACCGAGGGCAGGGCTCGCGCGCGCATGCGGCGGCGTGCTGATGCCACAATCTCGGCCGGAGCAGCATCCATGGCAAAGAGGTCGACCAACGCGGCGACCGCCGACTGCTGGCGGGCCATCACGTCTTGCGCGGCCGGCAGAACGGGGCTGGTGTAGGGCTCAAAGACGGAGACATTGACAGAGGCGAGCTCCACAAAGACGTTGTTGCGGAGCACGTGAAGGACGTGGGCTACAAAGTTGCGGAGGTCGGCATTGTGGGGCAGAACCACCTGCATACCGTACTCGGTCTCGGAAAACTGCTTCCTGAGCGGCCCACAGGCACCATTGATGACAACCGCCAGCTCAGCGGCACCCGCCAGCAAGCTTGCACGATCGACGAAGCGGCGCCGTAGCTGGCTAAACGAGGTCGAGGATGCCTGACTGTTGGCGTTGATGTGGCAGCAATAAACGATGGAGAGTTGCATCGTCATGCCGCCGATTCAACCGCCCGAGCAAGGCTGCTCAAGACTGACAGCCACAAGAAGGTCAAAAGCAAAAGGTCAAAAGCTAAAGGCTACCGAAACATCATGTCTGCTCTGTTGCGTGCAAGTGCACGAGGTGCACGCAAATGGGCGGCCAACGCCGCGCTAAAAGAGGGAGAGAGAGAGAGAGACGGAGAGACGGAGAGACGGAGAGAGAGAGACGGCGACACAGACGGAGATCCAGACGAGGAAGCTCGTCGTTCTCGTGGCCGACGCCGTTCAGTCGAGATTCGTTTCAAAGGCGGTGTTGTTATTCAGCGTCTGTCTACATAAAATACGAGGTACTGCTTGCTCAAAGCGGCCAATGTCGCATCCAGACCAGCACGCTGCCGTTTGACAGCCACACACACGCGCACACACACACGCGCGCGCGCGCGTCGTTTTTCGCGGTTCAGCGCCAAAAAGAGAAAAGGCAAGCACAAGTGTGAAACTGCTATTGGCAACAGTAAAATACAACAGTACGCGTGATTCGAAGAAGAAAAATATGAGAGAGGAGAGAGAGATTGCCATCAGTTCCAAAATAGGAGTTGACTCTAAATATAGATGATGATAATCCCGCGACGATTTGTCAGATTGTCAGAGAAACTTAATGTCAGACGCTTGATGTCAGACGCTATAAGGAATTTTTTCTCTCTCTCTCTCTCTCTCTCTTAATCTCTCTCTCTCTTAATCTCTCTCTCTCTCTCTCTCTCTCTCTCTCTCTCTCTCTCTCTCTCTCTCTCTCTCTCTCTTTCTCAAACCAATTCACTCTCTCTCTCTCTCTCTTTTCTCTCTCTCTCTCTCTTTCTCTGTCTGTCTCTCTCTCATTTTTTTTTTTTTTTTTTTTGACGGCGCATGACAGACGGAGCGTGTCTTGTGTGTCGCCACAATGGCCACAACGGTTCGCGGATTTGGCGGGAAGATCTCGCGCCGGGCCAAGGTGCCCGGCGGCAGCGAGCAGCTCGGCTCCCCCTCGACCCGATCTACTGCGGACGATGCCTTCACTGCTGCCGTCAAGCGGGCTGAACTTACTCCCAAGCGTGCCAAAACCAGCCCCACGGTCCGCAGCTGGTCAAACTCAGCCACCCGATCCTCGGCCCCGTCCCAGCCAACACGAGTGCTCTCTGCTGCTGAGAGCCCCAGCCCGCAAAACGCATCCCCGCGCGCGAGCGCACGCACAGCAAGCCCTCCCATGCCTGCTAGCCCGCAGTCGCAGCCAAACCCCCGACAGCTACGGCGTCTTCGCTCCGCCCCCGCAAGCGCACCCACAGCGTCTGCAACCGCCCAGCCACAACCGTCTCGTGCCGTCGGGCGAGCGGACACGACTGCACCGCTCGTGACCGCCCTGCTTCGCCGCAATCGCCCCGTTCGACGCGATACTCCGACCACGCCGAGCCACGACCAGCCGGTACAGCGCATCCTGAGCTCCAGCTCCAGCTCCAGCTCCAGCCCCAGTCAAACTCAACCTAGTCCGGATCAGGGCCAGAGGCAGAACCACAGCCAAAAGCATGACCAGAACCACAATGGCCGGCTCGCTCACAACTCGCGAGCATCTGCGCGATTGTCTCGCCCTCAGCTCAAGTCACCACCACCAACAACAACCACGACGGCTTTGGCTCGCAGCCAATCCGTCTCGACCACCCCAGCCCAAGCCCATGTTCCGCCTGGGCCCCAGCGAAGCGCATCCTCCCCTGTCCGACCTCGCCTTCTCCGCCTTCGCTCCGACCCCCGCTCCCCCAGTCAACCTAGTCGAGCTGGACGTGAACCAACTCGAAGCAAGACACCGCCGCCCCAAGCCTCGGACCCACCCGAGTCTGAGCAGGATACGCAGCCCCTGAATGACCCTGACTCGCTGGACGCCGACACCGAACCCTCGGCCGCCGAGCTCGAGCTCGCCCTCCCTCGCCTCTACAAGGCTCAAACCTCCCCCGCTCGCATTGGCCTTCGCCCCTCTCCAAGCACCTCACAACCTAGCTGGCCCAACACCAAACCTGACGACCCACGCCCAGAGCCGCGCCGCAGTGTCAGCGACTTTGTGCGTTTCACCTTGTCCTGCTGTTCTGCCTTTTGATTGGACGTCCTTGAATCCAGAGAGCTGCCCCTTACTATTGCCCTTTTCTGCCTAGGTCACGATTGCTCGAACGACTGAAGCCCATGCCTCCTTGGAACAGGGCCAGCAGCAAGAGGTGGGAACGTTGCTTGTGCAGTCATCCTTTCCATCACCCTGCCTCGACCGGGTGCCACGCTTGTGCAGACCGCTCATGCACCCTACTTCACTCGATAGCTGCGCGATGACGTGGATTTTCTTCTTGATGGCCTACAGCAAGCCCAGCAGGCCAGCCTTGAATACGTTGAACGACCGTACGTCCCAAAGTTCAGCCGACCGCACTCGTAGCCAGAATACCCCTGACAATCCCTGCCGATCCTTGCGACATGGCCCTTGTCTTTGGCTAGCTTGCTTGATTTAGCAGCGCGATGCCAGAAGCCGCGATTTCGCCGCTTCTTGCGTGCTTATGGAAAAATCCAGCCGCTGCTCAGTGCCACCACTGCCTGTCTTCAGACGACCAGGGTAAGCGTTTTGGCATCTGCAATCGCGCTTGCATGAGCACACATGTTTCGCCCATTATCACAACCGTTCTGGCGCGGCTGCACCTCATTGAGTTTCCCAACCCCACGGTAACGATCGAACAAACAGACGACCACGCGGTTCGCCGCCTTGGCCCTTCTTTTCGAATTGGCTCGCGACTGCCTGCACGAGCAGGCAGTCCATCCAATTATCGGTTCGTAATGACACCTCAGCCATAGTGCTCTGCAGTTGTGGTGTTTGTTTGGTTTTTTTTTTCTTTTTTTTTTTTTGTCTTTGTGTTTGTTTCATTCACATCTGAGCTGCACTGCTGTGTTGCTCATGTCACTTCCTGCCGCACAGAAACGCTCGTGTCATGGGATAGCACTTCGCTCGAATCTTGTCTTCCTGTTGACCGAACCACCACTGCTCCCTCGGCTGCAACTGCACTCTTGCGGCGGCGCACAGCGCGCTCAAAAGCAAACAGATCATCAGATACCACCTCTGTCCAGCTCAGGTCTGACGCAACTGTGTTTCATCGCTTGGTCCTGCTTTTGATTCTTTTTTGCTTTCCATGGCCAAAACGCTATATGCTATTCTCACCTGAATTCACCCTCCGTATCTGGAATTTAGAGATGCAATCAAGGTCATTGCTCTCGAAGAAAAAATTGCCCTGAAGGACCTCACCGTAAGTGGGACTGCTGTTGGTTTTGACTCGACTAACCTTGGACGAAGCTCGACAGGCTGGCTTGCTGGGGCCAAGCTTTTCTTCCCCCCCCCCCCCCCTCTCCCAGTTTTTGCTTTTTTTTTTTTTTTTTTTTTCTGTCTTTTTTTTTGTCTTGGCTCTCCCCTCATCCTTCTGGAGCGATATAGATTGGCGTTTTTTCGCTTTTACTTGTGCGCCGCATCCTTGTCAGTGGATTTGCTGGTATGTTGGACCGTATTGAACCGCGGTGTGTCACCAAAAGACACATCCTTCCATAAAACCCACCCATTTGCCGCAAGACGTCACATGACAGGGCTCATCGAGAGTTCCTTGACAGATGCCGGTGTTCATGAGGCACTGCGCACAACGGGGTGGCTCGCGCGATTTTTGCGGCGATGCCAGCCGACTCTCTTGGCCTTGTTGAATAAAAACCAACGCTGGCTTGAGGACATTGAAGCCGTTCAGCTCTTTAGCCTGCGTCTCGACATTTTGAAGAGTTGCCTCCATCAAGAGCCAGACGGTAGCTATGTACGCACGTGCCGGGATGTTTCGCTCGATTGGGTGTAAGAAGCAACAGGATGTTTTTTCTTATTTTGTCCATCGCTGACCACCCGTCTTTGCGTGGTTCCTCTCTTTCTTAATTCTTTTATCGAAGAAAACTTGCGTGGACCGCCCCTACTTTGGTCTTTTTGAGGAGCTGGCTCGGTGAGTGATGGTGACATGATTTCCGATTGCGACATTGTTTCCGGCAAAGCGATGGTTTCGCCTGTAGCTCGATCGAGCTTGGCACTGCACCTGTGCCTCAACGAATATGCCAACCAATACGCGCGCTTGGACCCTCAGGGTGGTCGACCTGGGCCTGGAGCGAATCGCCCACCAGCAATCGGCGTTTCCCGCCTTTGCCTTTGATGCCATTTGCACCTGCCTCCGCATCCTTATTAGCGCCACCAATCATCAGCGTAAGTTCCATTTTTTTTGTTGTATGCGTTGATCCAGATCGTGCCAACTTGTTCGTGCCCTCGCCGTGCAATTGTGTATCTTGCTTTTCCTTTTTTTTTTTCTGTGTGATCACGATGTCTGATCATCTGACCATTTTGCCTGATCGTGTGTAGCGGATTTGAACGCACGATTGGGAACACTGACGTGGCCCAAGCGCTGCTGCGAGGTGGTTCTTTTACGCCGGCACCTCAAGTGCACCTCTCTGACTGATTCGCAAAAGTTTGACCTGACGGTCATGGTATGTCAATCCATGGTCAATTTTTTTACCATGATTGGCGCTGCCTCTCACCCAGTGTTCTGCCTCATAGAGCATGTCTTTGCTTGCCAACGTGATGGAGCACAACCTGGATAATCGTCTGGTATGGTCTGCGCTGCAAGTGTCGAGAGCACCCCGTATCGAAAGGTCGTGCTTCATTGTGTTTGCTCGTCGCTCATTGAACACTGGTGTCACTGCACTTCATCCTCTGATTTTTTCAGTTGATTGGAAGCTATCGCTGGCGCGAGGGCGCCAAGGAACAATCTTTTATTTCAGGGCTCGTTGACATCTTCCGAGCACACCAACGCGTTGATGAAACGGCCATGCTGGAAAACGACGCTGAGGCCGATACTTCAGATAACATTCTGTCCGCCTACGTGGCCGTGGCGCTGGGCTCACTTTGCATGCAGGCACCGGTACGCGGGACTGAGTCGCACGCTTGACTTCATGATCCTGAATTCTACTCACGCAGTGCGTCCTTTTTGCTCAGGATAATGAGCGGGAATTGGTGGAGCGAGCCGGGCTTGATGACGTTCGAGACATTGCCATGCATCTTCGCGAGTTTCTGCTCTTTCAACAAACCGCAACGGTAAGGGGTGGCATGTGACCCGTTTTTGTTTTGTTTTTTCCGACCCCACCCTTCAACTCCTTGAGTTTGCCTTGCCTGAGGACTGCACACGGCCTGGATTACGATTGGCTTGTGCTCACTCAGACGTGCTTTCGTCGGCAGGGAACGGCTGATCGCTCCACGGTCGACGCCATTGCTGCCATCATCGACAACCTCGAGGCCATGGTGGAACGAGCAGAAACTCGGGCGAAGGCGCAGACAGAGTCTCAAGAGCCAGCTTAAGCCAAGTTTGCCTTGCGTGACCCGACAGGCCGAGTGGCAATATTAGAGCTCAACAAGTCTAATTGACTGAAACTAGATGAGTGTGTGGCAAACAAACAAACAAACAACAAGAAAACAACACAAGACGTGCATGGGTGGTTCATCTTGCGCACCCCTGGAGTTCGTGAAACGTGATAGTTTGCTTGTGAGTCAAGAAGATAATTTTAAACGTCAGGATTCAATTCTTTTGGGTTCTGAAAGGTTTGTTCTATTTTAATGAGAAATATGGAGAAGGCGCAAGAGGCTTAGAGCTCGTCGTGCTCCTCACCCTCGTCCTCCTCAAAGCCGCCGGCAGACGCGCCAGCACCCTCGTAGAGGCTGGAGACGATGGGGGCGACAATGTCCTCGACCTCCTTCTTGGCAGCCTTAAAGTCATCCGCATCCGCATCCTCGTTCTCACCGAGCCACGAGATCTTCTCATCAACGGCCTCGGTGATGGTCTCCTTGTCTTCCTCGGAGAGCTTGCCGCCCAGCTTGTCATCATCGCCAATCTGGTTCTTCAGGCCGTAGAGGTACGACTCGAGCTCGTTGCGCGACTCAACGCGCTCCTTGACCTTCTTGTCCTCATCAGCAAAGCGCTCGGCCTCCTGGACCATGCGCTCAATGTCATCGGGGGTAAGGCGGTTCTGGTCGTTGGTGATGGTGATGGACTCCTTTGAGCCGGTGCCCTTGTCCTCAGCGGAAACGCGGAGAATGCCGTTGACATCAATCTCAAAGGTGACCTCAATCTGGGGCACACCACGGGGGGCGGGGGGAATGTTGTTGAGGTCAAACTTGCCGAGAAGGTGGTTGTCCTTGGTCATGGGACGCTCGCCCTCAAACACCTGGATGGTGACGGTGGGCTGGTTGTCCTGGGCAGTGGAGAAGATCTGAGACTTCTTGGTGGGGACGACCGAGTTACGGGGGATGAGCTTGGTCATGACACCACCGACAGTCTCGATACCCATGGTCAGGGGGTTGACATCCAGGAGGACAATATCACCGGTGTCCTGCTCGCCCGAGAGAACACCGCCCTGGACGGCGGCACCATAGGCGACGGCCTCATCGGGGTTGATGCCGCGGCTAGGCTCCTTGCCGTTGAAGAATTCCTTGACGAGCTGCTGAACCTTGGGGATACGAGTCGAGCCACCCACAAGGACAATTTCGTCGACTTCGTTCTTCTTGAGATCAGCATCCTCGAGGACCTTCTGGACGGGGGTGAGGGTGCCACGGAAGAGGTCCATGTTGAGCTCCTCGAAGCGGGCACGGGTGAGAGTCTCGGAGAAATCCTCGCCCTCGAAGAACGACTCAATCTCAATGCGGGTCTGATGCTGGGAGCTGAGAGCGCGCTTGGCCTTCTCGACCTCACGGCGGAGCTTCTGCATGGCGCGGTTGTCAGTGCGAATGTTCTTGCCGTGCTTCTTCTTGTAGAGCTTTACAAAGTAGTCCATGACACGCTGGTCAAAGTCCTCGCCACCAAGATGGGTGTCACCGTTGGTGGACAGCACCTCAAAGACACCGTTGTCAATGGTCAGGAGGGTGACATCGAAGGTACCGCCACCAAGATCAAAGACGAGCACGTTCTTCTCGCCGTCACGCTTGTCCAGACCGTAGGCAATGGCAGCGGCAGTGGGCTCGTTGATGATGCGCATGACGTTGAGGCCGGCAATGGTACCGGCATCCTTGGTAGCCTGGCGCTGAGCATCGTTAAAGTAGGCGGGAACCGTCACAACGGCGTGGGTGATCTTCTTGCTGAGGTAGGCCTCGGCAATGTCACGCATCTTGGTGAGGACCATGGCAGAGATTTCTTCCGGGGCGAAAATCTTCTCCTCGCCATTGACGGCAACGGCAATGTGGGGCTTGTCGTTCTTGCTGGTGAGCTTGAAAGGGAAGAACTTCTTGTCCTTCTGGACAGAGGAATCGCCCCAGTTGCGGCCAATCAGGCGCTTGGCATCGAAGACGGTGTTCTCGGGGTTGCTGGTCAGCTGGTTCTTGGCGGCGTCACCAATCAGGCGCTCGCCATCTTCAGTGAAAGCGACATAGCTGGGGGTAATACGGTTGCCCTGGTCGTTGGGAATGATCTCGACACGGCCATTCTTGAACACACCCACGCTGCGATCGACAAACCAAACAGAAAAATAGGTGAGATCAACACGTGAATGAACAAGGTGCGATTGGGTCAGGAATAAGCAACGGTGTGCGCCATGGGCAGAGCTTTGGGAATTGAGGTGCGACATACCAAGAGTAGGTGGTACCAAGGTCAATACCAATAACAGTACCAATGTCAGCCTTTTCGGCATCGTCGGCATGAACAGCAACGGCCAGCAGCGCAACGGCTGCGACCATGAGCACCTTCATGGCACCCTTGAACAACATGATGCTATCTGAGACGTGAAGTCTATGCAGCAATCGCGGCCAGAAGCAGAAGCAGAGGAATGAGCAAGTGGTGGGCGGAACACAAGTCAGTGGAGCATATCGACCAAAAAAAAAGCAGAGGGAAAGCTTAGTGGGTCCATGCTCAGCTGCCGCCGCCTCGCATATGCACTATCCACAGAGACCTCACTCCCACCACTGACAAGAGCACCTCTGCCCTTTCCTGTCAGTGGTCATCGAACAGCCATCCCATCTCACTGATCCAGCAGCCGCAGCCGCAGCAGGACGGCAAACGTCTCTTGTTGCTTACCGGCTCAAGTTGTAAAATGCTGCTCCGACCCACTGGCTCTCTCTCTCTCTCTCTCTCTCTCTCTCTGTTCTGTGCCACCTCAGAGAAAAGATTTTTGAGAAACGTTAAAGAGATAAAAAGTACGACAAGTCTATTCGAAATCTTGCATCGAGACACATTCATCGCTTCTCTCAGTTTCCTTCCGCTTCTGGTTTTATCTCTCTTTCACCTTGGAAATGCCTTTGTGCTGCCAAGCTGCTGAAGCGCCTTCTCTGAACCGAACCGCAGAGTTTGCTTGCGTCTCTCCGGAAGCTTCTGGGGCGTCGCCACGTCACCGGCCAAGATCTTCCTTCAACTTCCAGCTCGTCAAGCACACGTCAAGTATGCCGACGGCAGCCGAGATCCGAGGCTCTCCTCCTTGTTTGCCAAAGGCTCACAAGCCCACACCTGGAGCAGCAAGAACCATGGGACCAAGACACGGCCGTCACCAGCTCTCAATGCCATGCCGGCTGCCATTTCAGAACCGCCTAAGGGGGTGTGTTAGGTCATAGGGGAAGAAGTAAGGCACACCAAAAGGATGTGACGTGTCACCGCTTGATACTGAATAAAGATCGCAGGAATTTTATGCGCAGAACTATTCGCAAAAACTAAAACTAGCTGACAAGCTGACAATAAAGATGCTTCTTCAAAGAACAAAGTAAAATACTTTTTCAACCAATCGTTGATGAATTTCGGAAAAGAAAAAAAAAAAAGAAGCAAGTGGGGTTGTCAAAAGGCAGCCACCGGCTGACTGTGGCGGAGGGAAAGTCACACACTTCACCAAGGAATTAGCAGTGGCTGGCAGGGTATCGGTTCTAGTTGTGAAACTTGCGGTTGTCCTTGGCCATGTCCTTGAGCAGCTGGCAGGGCTCAAACTGCGCGCCAAACACGTCCTGGTAGCGCTGCATGCGATCAACCAGCTTGCTCACGCCGTAGGCATCCATGAAGCGGAAAGGCCCGCCACGGAAGGGAGCAAAGCCAATGCCAAACACGGCGCCAATGTCTATTCATATGCAAACGCCCCAATCAGTGGCCGCCGAATGAGTTGAACGCGCGTGTACACAAGGAAACAAAGGATCAACAGTCAGTCAGTCAGTCCGTCAGTGAGGCTTGGGTGAGGCTTGAGAAAGAAAAAAAAACTTACCACCAGCTGTGGGATCAGTGATGATGTCGTCCTGGAGGCAGAGGGCTGTCTCGTTGCAAAAGCGCGACACCATGCGCAGCTGCAGGTCCTCCTCGGAAAGCAGGCCGCTGCTGGGCTTGCCACGCTGCTTGATGACCTCCTCAATCATGGCCTCCATCTCCGGGTTGACCGTCTTCTTGCCCTTACCCGCGGGGAAAATGTGCATGCCCTTGCCGCTCTTGCGACCGTACCAGCCCTTGGCCAGAACCTGGTCCAGCATCGTGGGGTCGGCCGTGCCCACGCGGGCACCCAGGTCGGTGGCCAGGAACTTGGCCACGTTGTTGGCAACGTCCAAGCCCACCTCATCAATCAGTGTCATGGGGCCCACGGGGAAGCCAAACTTGGTCAACGCCGAGTCCAGGTCCTTAATCTTGGCACCATCCAGGAGCAGGGCCATGCCCTCATCCATGAAGGGGCCCAGGCAGCGGTTGACGTAAAATCCGGGCACATCCTTGACGATGATGGGGGTCTTGCCCTGCTTCAGGCCCATGTCGTAAACGCGCGCGACAGTGTCGTCCGACGTGCCGGGGTGACGGATAATCTCAAGCAGGGGCATCTTGTCCACGGGAGAAAAGTAGTGCATGCCCACAAACTTGTCGGGGCGCTTGCTGGCCTCGGCCAGCTTGGAAATAGGGATGGCCGAGGTGTTGGTGGCAAAGACGCAATGGTCGGGGGTCACGGCCTCGTACTCACGAATGACCTTGTGCTTCAGATCCACGTTCTCAAAGACGGCCTCAATGATCATGTCCACGTCCTTGAAGTGTTGCTGCCAGTTGCTATCGGCATCCGACACGCCCGTGACACGGGACATGATCGAGTCGCGTTCAAAGGTCGAGATGCTCTTGCGGCGTGCCTTCTTGTCCAGGTTGCCATAGATCTGGCTCAAGCCACGAGCCAGACCCTCGGACTTGGCGTCCTTCATGACGGCGTCCTTCTTCGCGTTGTTCACGGTAACCTCAGCAATACCAGCGCCCATCAGGCCGGCGCCCAGGACGCCCACCTTCTTGTCCGCCACAGAGGGCTTGCCAAAGGGGTTCTTCTTCGAGGCCGTCTGCGCAAAGTAGATGGTGACCAGGTTGCGCGATTCGGGCGTCAGACCCAACTCGGCAAAGCCCATGTGCTCGGCACGATAGCCCTCGGGTGAGCCAAAGCCATGCTTGGCGCTCGTCTCCAGCACATCAATGATCTAATGAAACAGAGGCGCGCAAAGTAAGGTTAGCCACACCCTCAACGGCTTTTGCATGAAAGGTGTGCCAAAAATGTGCCGTGTGTTCCGAGGCAAAAGCATTGTGCTGACCTTGAGGGGAGCGGGGTACACGCCCTTGGTCTGCTTCATGACCTGCTCGCGGGCCTTCTTGAAAACCAGGTTGCGGGTGTACTCGACGTCCTCGACAAAGTAACGAATCAGCTTTTGCAAGCCCTTGACCTCGCGGTTCGGCTTGAGCTTCTATTGAAGCATGGTCGGCGACACAGAATCAGTGTTTGCATCGCATTTAAGGCTGGAAATTCGTGCTGGCATGCGATGCTATAACAAGTGGGGATTGGGTGTTGGTTGTCTCCCTCTCCTCCCCCCCTTTTCCCTTTCATTGACATGGACTTTGCTCTTTCTCTGCGTGTCTCACAGAGAAAGTATATTTGTGTGTGTGTGTGTGTGTGTGTGTGGTGTGTGTGTGTGTGGGTGTGTGTGTGTGTGTGTGTGGGTGTGTGTGTGTGGGTGGGTGGGTGGGTGGTGGGTGTGCGCGCAAATCAAAATCTACGTACGCCATCAGCCAGACCCTTGGCGGCTTGCTTGGCGGCAGACTCGAGGGCAAAGGGATCGGCAGTTTGGTCCACCAGCTTCATCTTCTTGGCCTTCTTCGCCTTGATGCGCTGGCCCGTAAGCATCATGGGGAGTGCTGCCTGAAGACCGACGAGGGCCGGCAGGCGCTGGGTGCCACCCGCACCGGGCAAGATGCCCAGCATCACCTCAGGGAGGGACATGACTGTCTTGGGGTGGTCAGTGGCAATGCGATAGTCGCAGGCCAAAGCCAGTTCTAGACCACCACCCATGCAGGTACCGTGGATAGCCGCCACCTTGGGCTTGCCCCTACGAGCATCGCCAAGAACGCGAGGAGACACGTGCCACGTGAGCTTGAACAGGATCTCAGAGGAGGTCAACGTAAAATTAAGAATGACGTACTGGGCAAACTTGAGGAACATGTCTTGCGCAGGCTTGGAAATGTTGATGAGATCCTCCTGAGTCTGGTTGAGCCAGAAAAGAACGGTGAGATTGAACGGAGCTTAGGATTTGATGGGCTTTGAATAGGCCAGAAGAATTTTAGAATTGGTATGCCTTCTGATTTGCGCAAGTGCAAGCGGAGTGCCGGCGGCGGTTTTTACCTTGCAGCGGGTGAACATGTTGATATCGGCGCCGGCAACGAAGCAATCAGGCTTGCCCGAGGTGATGACGCAAGCGCGGACCTTGGGGTCCGACTCGAGTTGCTGCATGACACGCTGAACTTCATCGCTCATGTCCATGGAGAGGGTGTTGACCTTGGAGCCCTGCTGGTCAAAGACGACGGTCGCGATGCCATCGGCATCGACGGTAAAGCTCACGTTGCTCTTCTTCTGAGCCTCGCCAGCTGAACATTCGCATTGGAGGGAACACCCAGGACCGGTTCAAGCGCCATCATGTGCCATCGAAAAAAAAAAAAAAATAGGCGAAGCGATATGCCAAAGAAGAAAGGTGGTGAGGGTAAGATGGGAATGAGAATGGCGTGTCGAGCACTGCGTGCAGGCGTCAGAGGGAAACATTGGAAGAGCGAGAAATCTTGCATCCGCACGTGCCCTCTGCGGAGGGTTGAGATGAAAGATGAGGGACCCAGGCCAAACATACCAGCGGGAGTCGCGGCTGACATGTGACGAGCCACGGTCGACTGAGCTGGCGCCATGCGCACGGTGCGCGCTACACAGGAAAGAGGAAGAGGATGAAACGCGGCCGAATGAGCACGATGACGAACAACGAGAACGAGTCACTCATTAAGCCAGCAGGGTGGCGATCGCCACCGAGCCCACCAGACACGGATCAAAGTGGACTCACTCAGCGTCTGCATCGCCCGCAACGCCATTGTGCGGGTGCTGGAGAGAAGGATATCCTCAAGAGGGCAAAGGGGGTCACCACCAAAAGGAGAGGCGCTATCAAACCCGTCCACAAACGAGCGTGAGTCAGCAGCCGGTTGGTCCACAAAGCCAGGCAGCCAGTCCCCCGCACTCTCCAACCCATGCTTGATTTTCTTCCCAAAAGTAACCCCATGCCTCCACGGCAATGATGCCCAAGCACCCCCTCCCGTTCCCCCAACCACAACTCCAGATCCAGCCGCCAGCACCCCTCGCCCCGAACAACCCGACTGCCGTTTTTCTTCTTTTTTTTTTTCCCACTGACCGACCCTTTTGACCACTGGAACAAAAGGCAATAAAAAGGCTTGAAGTGCGCTCTCTCTCTCTCTCTCTCTTTCTCTTACCACTGCGCTACCGTTTGTAACTGCTGGTTGTTGGAGGCAGCCAGCACGCACGCGCTTGCGTGTGTGTGTCTCTTCTCTCTTCTCTCTTCTCTCTTCTCTCTTCTCTCTTCTCTCTCTCTCTCTCTTCTCTCTTCTTCTCTCTTCTCTCTCTTCTCTCTCTTCTCTCTCTTCTCTCTCTTCTCTCTCTTCTCTCTCTTCTCTCCTCTTCTCTCTTCTCTCTTCTCTCTTCTTCTCTCTCTTCTCTCTTCTTCTCTCTTCTCTCCTCTCTCTCTCGTGCAGGCACCTGCAGATTGCTGTGTAACTAATATTTGAAAACCCATGACGATTTGTTCCCTCTCTAATCTTCGACTTATTTTTGACTGAATTTTTAAAGCATTTTCGGCGCAGGGCCTCGAACGGGGCGTGAATGCTGGGCTATATCGGGCTCAATGGGGCTCAATGTTTTCGGTTGGCTTTCAGGACGGTTGCATCGAGTGTCAACTCAACATGTATATCCTTTCCGAGCCTCACTCGGCGCTGCTCACCACCACAAACAGCTCCTAGACAAAAACAACGGCCATGTATAAAACGCGGTGTGCTCGTCGTTCAGCGCCCCACAGTACTTTTGGCTGAATGAATCAAAGAGCTTCAGCTCACACTAACATAACCTAGCAACTGGAGAAAAGTCATGTTGTCTAGTGGGCTGGGCGGCTGCTACTCCCAGGAAGAAGAGAGAAAATGTGCAAATTCCGTAGCTGCGTGTGCTCTTTGGATCGATTGGAAGAGTTTGGGAGAAAACGCGGCGCGGGAGGCTGCGCCAGCGAGCGGGGAGTGTGGCAAAAGGCACCGAGAACAAGGTTCAAAGTTTGGCTTAAAACTGCCGAGCCTGGCGCACAATTAGGTTGTACGCCGATTGGTTGTGCAGGGTTCCATTGGTTCCGTCAAGCATGTAGAAGAAGCGATGGCCGGGAATGCGAAAGGTGACCACGCTGTTGGCGACGGCCGTGGTTTGTCGAGTCGTCATCAACAACTCGCTGACCGGCATCTGCTCGGGAGGCGGCACAGTCATGGTGTCATTGAGGAGAGACAGCCATCAAAGGCCTCACCAGTCAAAAGCCAAGCGCTGAGCAGATGGAACAGAGGGGGGGGAGGGAGGGGAGCAAAGTTGGGTGACGGCGTACCTCAAAGCTACGGCGACCCCAGTAATTGTACGTTTGGATTCGCAGTTGGCCCTGGCCCGTCGTGTAGAGCCTGCTCACATAGCTGCGGCCCATCAAACATCAGGAATGAGTTGGCAGCAGCCCATCAGTGGCTCCCTGTGTAGGTAGAGGGCTCACCGGCGTGGGACGTAGATGCCAAGGCCAAGGAACATGACGGCCATCATCAGGCTTGCAAACGTCCACCCAAACCTTGTGGAGGAGCTGGCCTTGCCGTCCTAAACAGTCGGCAGATGGGCGTGTCAAATAGGTTCAGCAGTGGAGTCATGGGGGTCCCAGGTAGGATTTGCGGAGCGCCAAGATGTGTGCGTCTGCCTCAGCGCATGGGACCTACCAACGCCCCTTCCTCCCGCATCTGGGGAGCAAGTGTTGCTTTTGAAAGAAGGAAAGAGGGATGCATGCAGATCAATCAAAGCGGTCAAGGCATGAGTCGCACGAACGAGGCAGGTGATGAGCTTCGACAAGGCATGTTTGCATGACCAAAGCCTTGTGCAGTGAGGTCACAGAAAAGAGACCCCCCAAAATATAGGCGACGTCAAGGGCGAGCCCAGTTGCCAGAATCACCCAACAGCAACTCACCAGCTGAGATCCAGAGTGTGACTTGGGAAAAGGCAGCAGCTTTCATGAGCCGGATAAAGCCCGTACGCTCGCAGCTAAAAACGAGGACATCCCCAGCCGACGAGTGGGTCGCCGCGCCCCCCGCCGCGGCGGCAGAGGGCTTGGCTGCATGACTGGTGGAACCCGAACGCGCGGGCTTGGTGCTGGAAGAGGCAGGCCCCTTTCCGGGAGCCGGGCGCAGCGAAGGCTGGCGCGCCCAAGTTTGCCGGGTCGAGGAGAAACAGCGCCGCGAGGCCACCCCCAAGTTTGACGCTAGAGGGCTGCGCATCCAGCTGCCAGCAGGGGTCATCACACTCCTTCGAAATGAGCCCATCACCCCCTTCATGGCCTGCACTGCCGCCGCCATCTTGCCATGCACACGTCCCCTGATCTTCCAAAGGGCATCAAGACCAGAGAGCGGTGCCTGTGATGCCCGTGCCCTGTCTCCTTGCGGGTCAAGGCTGCAGAAATTATAAATTTTTATTAAAAAAACTGGAAATTTTGATCTTAAAATTAAATTAAATTAAAGTTTTACATGTCATCATCGTGGCAGCCATCACAAGATGCATCGGATGTTGTCAAACAAAAGTTTGAAAATTTAATTTGGTCGAGCGTCATAAAACTTTAAGTTTTACATGACATTTGTGCATGATCAAGTCTTTTTTAAAAAACAGCATTTAAAACTTTACATCCGATTTGAATTTCTTGCAGGTGCTTCGGATCGATCGCGTGCAAATGAACAGGTGTGTTGTCCGCCTGCGTCTTGCCTGTGATGCTCGGTGACAAGGAGAGATTGTCGTCGCAGTTTCTGATGATCCGGGGGAAACGATGACGCGGCATGCGGGCATCGCCTGGTGCCAGCGCTCACTGTGGGGAGGCCTTTCATGGGGGGTTTTGCTCTTGGTGCTGCTCAACGTCTCGATCAACGCGCGCTCGATCTCAACGTCCTGGCGCAACCGTGTAGCCGAGTCGAGAATGCGTGCCCGAGCAGAGACTTGGAGACATTGCTCACGGGATGAGATGGCCGTCCCGTTTCGCCGCAATCTTCACTACACCTACATTGACATTTGCGTGCCCCCGGGAGCCAATAGCACCGCGTTCGGGTCGTGGCATGTCTTCAAGGCCGGTGGTAGCACGGCGAGCCAGATGATCACCCGGGCCTGCGACTGCATCAACGGTACCCTCCTGGAGAGCTTTCGATATCGGAGTCTAGAAGAAATGGAAGAAAGACTTGGGCACCATCCCGTGGAGTTCTTTGCCGCGATTCGAGATCCCGTGGCGCGATTTTTATCGGCGTATGGTGAAGCCTTTCGCAGAGGTGTGTATGTGTCTATGTACGTGGATGTGTCTGTGTTTGTGTATGTATGTGCTCGTGTTTGAACACGTACGCTCGATCACTCGCACACTTGCCCTGGCTGCCTATGTGCCTCGTCGCTCTGGTCCCGTTCAAGGAACCTGGAAGCTTGCAGTCACTGACCGCTGAACATTTGCCTGTTGGTCTCCCGTGTTTCCCATATCGGTCATTTATCGGTCATGATCGGTATTGTATAGGGTCGTTCACCAAGATCCGAAGCGTACGGAGGCTTTTGGCCAAGGGAGAGACCCCACGGAACAAGATTGTTCTGTTGGAGAAGATTCTAGACCTGTTCTCAACGGCCGAGCAACTCGCGGCGGTGAACGATCACTTTCTTCCAACCGTTGAGTTTCTGTCATTTGCACAGCCACGGCAGCCACCGCCTCCTTCGTTGCGCTTTGCGCTCGACTTGACCAAGCCCAATGCCACCCTGAAGCTGTGGGACTTTCTCTCGGCGCGGTATGACCTGAATCGTTCGGGCACGTGTGCGACGCCAAGTCCGGCCGAGTTGCACGACCGGCATCGCGACGAGAGCTATTTGACGGCATGTTATCCCAGTGATCGCGGCGCGTGCATCGCTGAAGAGTTTCAGAAGTTTGCGCCACTCTTTATTATCCGGGTCGCCGAGCTACCGGAGCGGCTCGTCGGGCGCATTCGGACCATCTACGCCAAAGATGAGAGCTGTTACCAAGAAAGCGAGCTGATTGCTCGGAGTCTTGTCTAGACCACATTGCCACCTTTCGACGGGCGCCTCTTGTCACCCAGGGTTTCATAACCGCACACCTGAGCCCTGGCCTTTGAGATCTGCCCTCGATGATCGCGCCGCGCTTATCTGGCTCTCTGTTGCTCAGTGTCAGCAAGATGGCATCAACAGAAATCTGATTAATTGACATGCATAGGAGATTATGAATCGCATGTTTTTCCATCGTCCTAAACATCGGTGCCAGCGTGCACGCCTTTTCATGCCACCATAATTAATTGGGTACACTGTCCGAGGCTCAACCCTTGTACGACGAGTCCCAGCCGGGCGACGAGCGGTGCTGGCATGCACTGCATTCGCATGCATGCTTGCATCAGTCGCGCCGTTGAATTGATACGCGCGGAACATGTGTTCACTTCATACGTTCTGTTATGCTAATTATAAAAGTTTTACATGAACAGTAACATGGATGTAAAGAGCGATTGACTGTAACATGCAAAATGAAGTTTTAATTTAAATTTAAATTTAAAATTTAAAATTTAAAATTTTCTTTTCCCAGCGCTGGTCGCAGCTCAGGACCCACGAGGCAGTCGGCACAGGGAACTCGTGCGAGGGTGGCGTGCACGGCAGTGGATGCCGCGGACGTTGTTGTTGGATGGGGCTGCCAAGCGTGAGAGCCGATGATGGCAGATTGTTTTTCGGTCAAGACGTTGTTTATGTGGCTTTTGAGATTGAGATTGAGGGGCGTGTCCCAGCAAGCGTGGCAACCTTGGCCTTGAAGGGCGGGGTAGTCCTGAAGCGAGTGGTAGCCGCTGACCGGTCAGATGACGACGCGCAACTCGCTGCTGGCGGTGTTTCTCTTTGGGGTCGTGGTGCTGTTGCTGATGCAGTTTTGGCTTGAACCACGCCCAGTGTCTCCTTCTCGCGATCGTCTCTTCGAGCCCAGGATGCGTGCCCGGGCGAGCATTTGGCGCCGCTGCACGCAAGAAGAGGTGTCCCTTCCCTTTGCTCGCAAGCTCAAGTTTGCCTACGTTGATATTTGCATGCCGCCGGGGGCCAATAGCACCGCTTTCGGGTCGTGGCATGTCTTCAAGGCCGGTGGTAGCACGGCGAGCCAGATGATCACCCGGGCCTGCGACTGCATCAACGGTACCATCGTGGAGAACTTTCGATATCGGAATCAGGGAGAGATGGAAGAAAGACTTGGGCACCATCCCATGGAGTTTTTTGCCGCGATTCGAGATCCCGTGGCGCGATTTTTATCGGCGTATGGTGAAGCCTTTCGCAGAGGTAAGTACCAGTCTTGGTGGTCGTGACCTTGTGCCAGAAGATGTTTTTCGCCTCACGTGCTGGTCTTCATATCTTGTGACTCTGGCGGCTGGGCTCGAATATAATAGGCTCATTGACCAAGTATGACGATGTGACGGCATTGCTGGCCGAGCAGAGTGTCAAGCCGGACAAGTTTACTCTGTTGGAGAAGATTCTAGACCTGTTCTCAACGGCCGAGCAACTCGCGGCTGTGAACGATCACTTTCTTCCAACCGTTGAGTTTCTGTCATATGCACAGCCACGGCAGCCACCGCCTCCTTCGTTGCGCTTTGCGCTCGACTTGACCAAGCCCAATGCCACCCTGAAGCTGTGGGACTTTCTCTCGGCGCGGTATGACCTGAATCGTTCGGGCACGTGTGCGACGCCAAGTCCGGCCGAGTTGCACGACCGGCACCGCGACGAGAGCTATTTGACGGCATGTCATCCCAGTGATCGCGGCGCGTGCATTGCTGAAGAGTTTCACAAGTTTGCGCCACTCTTTATCATCCGGGCCGATGAGCTACCGGAGCGGCTCGTCGGGCGCATTCGGACCATCTACGCCAAGGATGAGAGCTGTTACCAAGAAAGCGAGCTGATGGCGCTTCACATGCCGTAGCTTTGCGTCGCCCCATCTGCGGCATGCGTGTTTTGCTTTTGAGTGAGTTGAAGTTTTTTTCATCGTGTGTCTTCCATCAGGCATTTCGCTCGAATCTGGTCGGTTGGACCTGAGGCGCTTGCGAGGATATGCCTGGGGCTGCGCATCATCACCATCATCATCATCATCATCATCATCGTCATCATCATCATCATCATCATCATTATTACCATCCATGTATTTGTATGCCGGGGCAGTGGTGCGTGCTACCATTCCACGTCGGATCTGGCCAGAAAATCAGCGAGCGTTTGCTCAAGCAGACGATGGCAACCTTTCCACACGAGCACGCCGCAGATCGACTGCCATAAATTGAGGCTCCATTTTCATCTCCATCTCGCTCTCCAGCCCCGTCTCTGCCCTCTTGCCATCACCATCTATCTCCATCCCCTGTCCCAGACTCTATCCCTGTCTCCATCCCTATCCTCATCTCTCTCTGTCTCACTCTCACTCCTATGGAAATTCCAGCGGTCTTTTCCCTCTTATCTTCATCATTCATTTTCTTCTCTTTCTTCTTTCTAACCCATTCATCATCATCATCATCTGTCTCTCTGCCTCTCTGTGTGTCTGTGTGTCTGTGTCTCTGTACCTCTGTGTCTCTGTGTCTCTGTGGCTCTGTGTCTCTGTGTCTATGTCTCTGTGTCTCTATGTCTCTATGTCTCTATGTCTCCGTCTCTATGTCTGTCTCTATGTCTCTATGTCTCTGCCTCTATGTCTTTGTCTCCATGTCTCCATGTCTCTGTGTCTCTGTTTCTGTCTCTGTCTCTATGTCTCATCTCTGTCTCTGTCTGCACATACAGACACACACACACAGACACACCAAGAGCCGCTTTATTTTCTTTCAAAGTTTTTTACTTTTTCCTATTTTTATTAAATTTTTTTATTATTTTTTTATGAATTCAAACGGCAGCGAGCGTCGGTCTGGTCGTTCAGGTGACTGACTGACTGACTTGGCTGGCTGGCTGGCTGGCTGGCCCGGGTGTTTGAAGAAGGAAGGGGAGGGCGCATAGGGGTGCTGGTGAGGGGGCGGTTAGCGGGCTTGGCGGGGGAGGGGGTAAGGAGGTCGTTTTATAGCCTTTGTGCCATTTGCAATGGCCGGGACAGTTGACGTCAATGCCATGGCGGCTGCCCTCTCGGCACAGCAGCAAGTGCGTCAGGATCCGCTCGTCGCAGCCGCTGCTGCAGCGGCTGCACATGTGGGCAACGGGTTGTCTGTTGCTTCTGATGAAGCTGCTTCCACGGCGGCGGCGGTGGATACCTCGACCTCCATCGTCCCCGCTACCGTTTGCGAGCACATCGCCCCTGCGACCGACGCCAGTCATGCGGGTGCCATGAACATGACGTCGTCCACACATCCCTCAGGCATGGCCCCTGTACTCAAGGATCAACCTTCCCAGGATGGGGCTGCAATGGCCATGGATACAACCATGGATGCCTCAGACGGTGCCATCCACGACACCACCACAACGACGACCACCACCACCACCAATTCGGGTTCTCCGGCCGATAACCACACCAATCCGCAGATTGCTGCTGGCTTCGATGGTCACCCACCTGCCGTGACCGCCGCCGATGGCCCTGTCCACACAACCGCCATGGATGTAGACGGCGCCAGCCAACAAACGGGCGATTCTGCTCCTTTGAATCCCGCGCCCACAGAGCTCATTCAGAGCTCTCCCGCTGCCGTCAAAGCAGAACCGACCGCCGTTTCCCCAGCTCGTGCCCCACCCGCTTTGGATAACACCACACCGGCCCCAATCAAGACCGAGACCGAAGATGTCGCTGGCGGTGGCACCAGCCATCAAGACAACGTGGCCGAGTCAGCGCCTTTTGTCATCGAGACCCCACCCCCCGTCACCCTCGATCTCTCCCCAGAACAAGTGGAAGAACGTTGTCGACTACACAAACAATTCCTCGATCTGGCTGGCTCCACAACTGAGGCAAACTGCTTTCCCGGCGTTAACGTCTGGGCGCTCATGCAGACCTATCGCCCCTGGCCCAGCCATGTCTGTTCTTGTATTTCCCCCTTTCTCTCACGCCGGCCCTCTGCACACCATCTCTTTCGACTCTCACCACCACACCAACACATTTGCTCCTGCCGTTTGTTCGTCGCACCCTTTGCTCAGATGAAGCGCCGCCGCAAAAGCAACAAAAAGTCTACGGCCGATAATGCTGTCGTTCTTTTTTACGGACCCGAGGACGAAGAGTACGTTCCATCTGGGCCTTGACGCTCACACCCACGCTCGCCTAACCCAAACCCACTCACGCGACTCACGCACGCACTCGCGTTGGAAACAACATCGTCAAACCCTTTAGAAAGTCACTGCCCTTCCCGTCCATTTTACCTCTCCTTCCATACCATCTCTCTGACATGTGCCGGTCCTGGGAGATCGACGACGAATTTTGCACCGCCGTTGAACAGGCCTACAGCGTCAATTGTCACCCTTGTCCTGTACGTCACTTGCTTGACCAACACATGCGCCGCTTCATTTCGCGTCCTCACCAACCCATTGGCCTTGGTCCTCTTCTTGGTACAGTTTTGCTGCCTCTCCTTTACCGACCGCAATCGCGTTCGCGAACACGTCCACAGCAAGCATGGTACATCCAACAACCCTGCCCTGCCGGTGCACCACCAGATCACACACACACACACACACACTGCTAGACTTGACCGCCGCCCCTTTACCTCACAACCTGTTCCAAACTGTTGGATCTTGCGCTTCTTGCCAGCGGGCCATTCAGCAGATGAGACCGATCTGGATCTTGCTTACCTGCGGTTTCGACATCATGCCCGCCTCACCTTGGATGAGGCCGTGCGCGGCCATTTCATCTCCCCGCTGAGCCAAGACATGGGCCTTGCCCCGTTTGCCCCGCAACAGGCTGAGCGCCTTCGCATTCTTCTTGACCGTCGCCGCATCACCCTCTCCCCTGAAGCAACACAGCGCCTTCACGACGTCTTTGACGAGGAAATTCGTCAACGCGATCAAAATACCGACCAGCACGTGGGCCGACGCATGCTCCGCTCAGATCTGGCCAAAGCCTCTCGTACGTTTTTTTTTTTTTTTGAAGTTGTGTACCCTTTTAGTCTATCGTACCTGAGTCGCACGTGTCTAGCTTATCGCCGGGTCTGATGATATTGGTAACTGCAGCTACCATGACCGACACCCCCGCCAACACGCTGCATAAACAGAAGAGCAAGAACAAGTGGATGACGCCCGTGGCCCGCCGCAAGGTCGTTGTGGACAGCCAAGGGGATGTCCGAGAAGAAAACAGCGTCTATTCGCTCGCTGAGATTAGGTTCGTAAGCACACCCTTCTTTCTGTTCGCAAGCATACGCTGTGCTTCTCCAGTTTGGGTGTTCCACGTTGCTGAAAAGATGGAAATGGGACCTTCTGGCAGCATTCCCATTCCACTTGACGCCGAGTATTGGTGTCTGACCGTGGATGCTCGTTATTGGCTTGAACGTTTGGTTTCTTTCCCTTACATTCCACTAGGGTTGGCGCCAATTACCAGGTGCCAGACACCTCCTACCCCAAGACCGATCCGCAACAGATTCCGCCCCTCAACGATGAAGCCCAGCTGGTTTTTAGCCCACTGGAGGCCAGCGTCGAGAACAGTGAATCTGTGCAGTACTTTTTAAAGTTTGCCAACACTTTGGGCTTTCGCTCTGCCCGTGCGTACGACGTGGAGGTATGTGCTGTTGACGCGTTTTTCCGGTGATGGCGCACGCATGTCAACTTGGGTTTTGACACGTGCTCAAAAGCTGGCACGGCGCCCACCCTCGTTTGCTATAGTATGCCCATCACCTTTTGCATGCAGCACAAGCCAACAAGGGCAAGAAAAAGTCCACCAGCATGTTGTCTCTCATGGAAGAGCTGCTTGATGACAAAACCCATCGCAAGCGGCCCATTCTTCGTGGTACGTGCTTGCTTTGTATCATGTCCGAGCACCAGCCGGGACTTCAATTGCACAGGCCCGGGTTGCATCTTTGACCACGTCGGCCTTGGTTTTCTTGTATTCCAGACTATCACTATCAGCAGCCGGATGACTGGACCAAAGCTGACCGGGACATGTTCATCAAGGGTTTGTCCGTTGAGCCTTGGATATGACTGGGCTTGTCTCGATGGTCGGCCCGCTCACGCCATTGACAAATGGGTCGCGAAAACCTTTTGTAGCATACCGTGAATACGGCAAGCAGTTTCGTTTGATTGCTGCACTCTTGCCCAGCAAGACGTATACAGATGTGATTGAGTACTTTTTCAACTTTTTCAAGCGCACACCCGAGTACCGTACCATCAAGCAGGAGCTGCGAGAGCGCGAACTGGAGGAGGATCGGCGCGCGCAGCAAGATGGTGCGGTCACGGCCTGCGATCACTGTCAGCGACATCTCACAGCTCGCTGGCGTGAGGGTCCAGGCCAGGAGGATTGGTGTGATAGTTGCTACCTGTATCACGGCGAGTACGTTACCGGGCCTTTTCCCCAGCTCCTTTGGTGCTTGAGCTCCGCCCGCCTCATTGCATGCGGTTTCGTTTTGGTCCTTGGCTGGTAGGTTTGGCCAGCTACCATACCTTTGTGATGACTATCGCGCTACCTCAACGCTCGATTGGCTGTCCTGGAACAAGACGCCTGGTACGTTTTCAACTGTTTGAGCGCTTCTGCATGTTTTTTTCTTTTCGCCTGTTCGTGCCTGGGTGTGGCGGCGCATCAGAGTCACACACGGGAATCGCTTTAGCTCAATTAAAGGCAATGAGAGCCAATCCGCCGTTTTTTGGATCCGCCAGCAAGGGTGGGGCCAAGAATACCGTTGGAATCGGCAGCAGCAACAGCAGCAGCAGTCGATCGCGCAAGCGTCCTTCGTCCTCTGGCGGCGGCGACAAGAACGCCAAGCGAAGTGCCAACGACAAGGGGGAGAAACGCAGCGTTTATGCTTGTGACGACTGCCCTGCTGTGTTTGACTCGGCACCCAAGCTCAACGGCCATCGTCGTATTCATCGTCGCATTCCCTCACCCAATTCGGCGGCGGCCAAATCCAAGAGCAAATCCAAAAACAAGAGCGGCAGCAAGAGCAAGAGCAAAAGCGGATCCGGCACTCAAAGCACCGCAGCCGCCACAAACAATGCTGGTAAGAGCAAGAGCAAGAGCAAAAGCAGCGGTGGCGGCGGCGGCGGCGGCAGCAGCGGCAACAACAGCAAAAGTACCACCGGGGGCAACAAGAGCAAGAGCAGCCGGAGCAGTGCCAGCAAGAACAAGAGCACAGCAGCAACCGAGTCAGCTGACACGGCCTTGGATAAAGTCTCAACGACAATGGACGTTGCTGCAGCCACCGCAGCAAGTGGGGCGTCACAGGAACCTGAAACCACCCTGCCAACCGAGCTTCAAGAGGCCGTGGCCACAGCACGGCAGGAGCAGCAAACGATTCCCGTGGCCGATACTCCACGGGTGGCGTCGCCCGAGCTGGGAAAGCCGCGGCCTTCCGAATCCATGTTTTTGGCCAGCGCCCCGTCATCGAGCACCCATCCAGCAATGCAAGATGTATCAGCGCCAGCAACTGGCTCGCCATTGATCGCGGCAGCGCCCACGGCCAGCGAAGAGGCGACGGCAACCCAACCAATGGCGTGATCCAAGAGGTTTTGAGTTTTGGACCATCGTCATTGAGACATTTTGCATTGATTTGGTTTGTGCATGGCCTTCTAATCGAGAAATGAGACGTGGTTCACGATGATGTCTGGGTGACGTGAATTTTTTCCATCCACTGTTGAGATGAAGAAGCGGGTGGGGCGGGAATGGGGATTGCTACTGAGGTAGGCAGCATATGTACGATGGTGTGTGTGCACTAAGGTTGAAGAATGGCCTTTTCGCATCAATGACAGAAGGAATCGGGGCAGGAATGGGCAATTGCGGTCGAGGTCTAGAGAAAGCAGTGGGAGCGGCCAGGCAGTCTATCGTCGTGACCGACGATGGTTCTAGGTCCGAAAAAGGGCAATGCGCTCGTGCGCATTGATCCCAGTGTCACCAAGACACTGTGGGCGTGGCGCGGCTTGTCAGGGGCGGAGAGAGAGGGAGAGAGAGAGCGAGAAAAAAAAAAAAAGAACAAAAGGGGGACAAGAAAGCTAGCAGGCCCCGACGCGATCGCGCGGGATCAGACGCAGTTCCGAGCCGTGTTTGAGAAACACATTGCCTGCATTGAGAAACACCGTCCAAAGTGCAGGCCGAAAACCAGCATCGTGGACATGCGAGGAAGAGCAAGAATGTATGAGCGGACGGATAGACGAATCGACCTGATATTTGGATGAGCAAGGGTCGTGCGCGCAAAGTGCCAGGTACGTACCGGCGGTCTGCGAGGGGTTAATGCCAATGCCATCGTTGGTAATGATGGCAGAGGTTTCAGGGGGCACGCGGAACTAAATGCACCATTGACGTGTCGAGGCGGCCAATGAGCAGGCCAGTTGTGACGAGCGCATGAGTCGAGGGGTTGGGGCGAAAAACAAAACAAAACACAGACGCACCTCCTCAGCAACATAGCGAAGCACGTGAGTAAAGGGAGTGTCCTCGGGCACCTTCAGCCTGGCACAAGCAGGGGAATGATCAGGAAGTGAGGAGGAAATGACAAGGGCCGACTCGAGTGCACGCTCGCGAGACATGTGCCGATTCAAGGGCATTTTGTCCAGCGCATCGCTTCCCAGGCTCGCTCAACTCACACTTTGAAGGGCAGCTTGGGATCAGAAGTCAGGGTAATCTTGAAGCTCACCGTCGGCTTGGCCCTATCGCATGCACGACAACGCGAGCCACGAGCGGCAACTGGTGAGGTGATCGCGAGGCAGGCATCTCATGGCCACGAGCCATTTGCAAGAGGTGCTTCCTGTTCTGAGCAACATCTCAACCGAGCCGAGGTGGCGTCGATGTAAACGACAACGCTCCCCCTCTACTCTTATGAACAACAGCCCTGCCCGCGATGCCGTCGCTGCCGTTGTTGCGCCGTCGCCGGCGCTGCCGTTGTTGCTCCTTACATGATGAACTGTCGATAAAAAAAAAATTAAAAGCGCGCGAAGCAAGGCAGAGAGGGAGAGAGATTGTGATTGTGAGTGAGAGAACAATCAGGTGGGGGTTTAATCATTCAGAGAGAACCGAAAGCGGTTGTGTCCGATGTTAACCTTTTACAAGCTTATATAAGAGAGATTGCGATTGTGGCACATGGATTCAGAGATACGATAACAGTATCGATGGCCAGCAGAGATAGCGACAGCAAAGTCAACACCAACATTGTAACAAACCCTCTTTAAACTAAACCCAAAACCCAGTCTCCTCCCAGACTCAACCTCTAGTCTCCGCGCAGACTAGAAACACGAGTGTGTGTGTGTGAGTGTGTGTGTGTGTGTGTGAGCGAGCGAGCGAATTGGCAGCCGGTGGGAATGGCGACCAAGATGATGGCGGCCGCGGCTTGTTCCGGGGTGCGGGGTGTGGTGATGGGTGTGGGGCGTCGGGTGTCGGTGTCGGGGTTGATGGTGCGGGCCGTGGCGGCTCGGTGTCACATGAGTGTGGGTGCGAAGCGGGGGGGTGCCGTGTTTCCCGCCGTCCCTTCGGGCGTCTCGTTTCAGCTCACGGGCATGCAGCAGACTGACGACGACATTAGCCTCGAGCGCATGAAGGTAACCGCCTCCTCTTTCATCATCCCTGTGGCTTTTTTCCCATGGATGCCCCTACCTCGCGCTTGATCACCGACATGATGATGCGCATGTGCTTGTTGCCGGCACCGTTGCGGCAACAACGGCAACAACGGCACATCTCACATCGCCCAGCGAATCAATGCCGACCGTCGCGTTGAAACTCGTTTCGCACTGTCTTGTTGGCTCACGGTGGCCATCAATGTTCCATTGCAACGTGCTGTGGGTCGCATAGATTCCCGACTTTTTTCACCTCAGTTTGGCAGAGATTGAAAGTCACGCAGCCCAGCTACTGCGTACGTCGTCTTCGCCATTGACCGTTTCCTTTCCCGCCTTGCTCCCCTCTCGGCCAGGCACCTCTTTTTCCTTTTACTTTCTTCCAGTTTTCAACCTTGCCCCTTCACCTGTTTTTCCTCATGGAAGCATTCTCTATCAAGAATCACATCTTGGCCAGGCCACGTCTTCTCACTTTTTCTCTATTGTATTTTTTTTCTCAGCCTTTTGCACTCAGTACCAAGAGCCACCTGCCGGTGCCCTTGTGCTGGAAACCCGAAACTACATGACCCTGGGCGGCTCAAACAACGTTTACCATGGTTCTCGCAAAGTAGCCCTTCGCGTAGGTTGACATGCAGGCCACCTTCTCCCAGAAGCCCACCAACCTCGTTGATCCCGTCTCATTTTCATCGATTCGGCGCTCGCAGTGCAAGGTGGCACAGCTCGGTCTCGAGCCGCCGGCCGCTGCAATCCTCAAGGAGATTGCTGATAATCGCTACAATGCCAACAAGGATGAGCTGCGTCTAGTGTCCAGCCGTTATCCTTCACGCGAAATGAACCGCCACCATGTCCAAGAGGTGCTCAAGCTCCTCATGCTGGAATCCATGGTAAGTCTGGCAACTGAAACTCTGGATGGCCCCGATAAACGACGGCATCCCATGCATGCACGTCCCATAATTGTACCTCACTCGTGACTTGCCCCGTGCCCTGCGACAGAAACTCGCACAATCGACCGCAGAAGCCTCGTCTTCTGCTGCCGCTTCTGCTTGAATGTTGACCCTTCTTTCTTCTGTAGACGTGTGCCCCTACTCAAAAACCCCTGTCGTGCCAACGAGTTGAGAGCTTATCTGGCTCGTGCCCGCAGGCAATTCATCCCCAAGACATGATACTGTTACCCTTTCATTCCTTTCACAATCAATGTGTCATGACTTCAACATCATTGTGCCAAAGGGTTTTCAGTCATTTTCAAGGGAATGTGGATTGCTTGGTAAAACACAGCTTGCGTTTTGGCTGCTTGGCAGCTCACATCAGTCACCTCACAAACATGACCTTGTGCCGGTCTGAAACCTCATTCTAAAATCCCCACTTTTTGAGGGTATCAGAAAACCAAGAATTGGTCTTGACATTGGCCGGTTGCGGCTCTCGTGCACGCATCGTGTTGCTACGCTGCATACGCGCCTGTGGCGGCACTGGCCCTTGGCGCGCCGTCATGGCCCGCGGACGCTGCCCACCATGGGTGGCTGCGGCTGGGCTTGAGCCAGCAACTTGCGTCGGTGGCCGACGCAAGGTGCCATTGCGCGCTCGGTTGAGCGTGGCTGGCGCGCTCCCAGCCGCAGGGCGAGCCTGGCGGGGTGTCGTCATGGTTCGCGCACGACTCGGTGTGCCGTCGGCATCCACTGCCGCTCGAAGCGTCGCAGGCTTGGGTGGCTTTGGCGGCGGCTTTTCAAAAAATGATGGGTGGGTGGGAAGTGACAACCCGTCCGTAGAACTCTCATTGAGACCTGTGATCACACATGTCGACGCACCCACTCTCGTGAGTAGGTTGACAAACAAGTGCGACAGAACCGCTCCGATTTTTCATTGCAAGGGAGAGGAAAATACAAGCCAAAGCCAAAAGCCAAAGCCAGAACCATCACGCGACAAGCAAGAAGCGCAATCGTTCATACCACCAGCGCCTTCAAGCACAAGGACCGGATCTGTCGAGCTCGAGTCGTTCAAGCCGCCACCAATTTCAAGCATGCCCTCGACGGGATCCGTCGAAGATTCCCCGTCTGCAAAGTATTCGAGAACGGCGATCAGGAGGCATTAAAACTTCGTAACTGACCAACATGTTCAAACAGCTCTCAGAGAACCGCGGGCATAAGGAGTCAAGGCAAGAAAACAAAATCAAAAAAAAAAAAAAAAAAAAAAAGAAGAAGAAAAACCAAACAGAAAAAAAAAAAAAAATAAAAAAAATAAAAATTCGCCATCTTACCAAAGTGATCGTTTAACATGATGGCTCGACTTCCAAACCCGCCCACCGGATCAGTCGATGATTCGCCATCTGTGGTGGTGATGATGCAACCGACACAAATGAGGGTGGCTACCAGGCTGCCAAACTCATCCTCACTCGCCTTTGGTCACGTTAATAAAAATAAAAACAAACAACACACCATCAAAATGATTGTTGAGCGTAAGAGTACGGCGACCGCCACCAGTGTTCCCACCACCAGCTCCAGACATGACACTCAGCTGACGACGTAGCTCCTAAGAAGAACATTCACACAAATCAAGTAAGCTTTGCCTAATCTAGTGCCTACAACTTCTTTCATCTCCGTTGCGCGGGACCAACCAAATTCTCATTCTCTAGCTGCATGGCATTCTCATCAGCTGCGGCTGCATCCTGCAGGGCACGGTCCAACTGCGTCTGCAACGTGCGCAGTTGCTGCTGATAAAATAAAATGTCGGATGGAGACGAGCTGCGTGGGCGTGGTTCTGGAGGGGGACCAGCCCCGTTGTTGATGGCCAGAAGGTTGGCCAGCTGCTGCTCGAGCTGGCGGGACTTTTCCACTTGCCGCGCATTATCTGCTTCAAGTGTGGCGATGCGTGCTGCGTATACCGTGCTAGGTCCACCAACGGATGAGTGACGTCTTCTGCCAGGACCAGCTGTGGCGGCGGGGTCGTTAAGCATGGCTGCATGCTGCTCTTCCAATGCTTGGAGCTCTTCTTTCACTTCATCCCGCTCAGCAGATGCAGCAGCGGCAGATGCACGCAATTGAGCATTGATGGCTTCGAGCTCGTGATACTCGGCCCGCACCTTGGCCAACTCAGCCTCAAGGCGCGTCGACTTGTCAATCGAGGTACCCCGTTGCCGCGAAAAGGTCTGAGAGGGGGCGTCGCCTGACACAGTCGGCTCGCGCCGAGATCGTTGCAATGTTTGCGCGCGCGCCACTCGTTGTCCCACAACGCGCTCTCGCGCCAGCGTGGCCTCTGCACCGGCCGCCGCAGAGAGGCGCGCCCGTTCTGTCTCCTGTTCACTGGCCTGTGCTTCTGCCAAGGCCTCGGCTTTGTCGCGCGCAGCCTCTTGCTCTTGTGCCTGTCGAGCACGATCCAAGCTTTCACGAGCTGCTTGTTCACGTGCGTGCTGTTCAGCAGCCAATCGCGCAGCCTCCTCTTCGGCGGCCTTCTGTTTCGCAGCCTCCTCTTCAGCAGCCACTCGTGCAGCTTCTTCTTCAACAGCCACTCGCGCAGCCTCCTCCTCCTCAGCGGCTTTCTGCTTTGCAGCTTCCTCTTCGGCGGCTATCTGCTTTGCAGATTCCTCTTCGGCAGCCACTCGTGCAGCTTCTTCTTCAGCAGCCACTCGCGCAGCCTCCTCTTCGGCGGCTTTCTGCTTTGCAGCTTCCTCTTCGGCGGCTTTCTGCTTTGCAAGTTCCTCTTCGGCAGCCACTCGTGCAGCCTCCTCTTCGGCGGCTTTCTGCTTTGCAGCCTCCTCTTCGGCGGCTTTCTGCTTTGCAGCTTCCTCTTCAGCGGCCACTCGTCCAGCTTCCTCTTCGGCGGCTTTCTGCTTTGCAGCCTCCTCTTCGGCGGCTTTCTGCTTTGCAGCTTCCTCTTCAGCGGCCACTCGTGCAGCTTCCTCTTCGGCGGCTTTCTGCTTTGCAGCTTCCTCTTCGGCGGCTTTCTGCTTTGCAGCTTCCTCTTCGGCGGCTTTCTGCTTTGCAGCTTCCTCTTCGGCGGCTTTCTGCTTTGCAGCTTCCTCTTCAGCGGCTTTCTGCTTTGCAGCTTCCTCTTCGGCGGCTTTCTGCTTTGCAGCTTCCTCTTCGGCGGCTTTCTGTTTCGCAGCTTCCTCTTCAGCAGCCATTCGTGCAGCTTCCTCCTCGGCAGCCATTCGTGCAGCTTCCTCCTCGGCAGCTTGCTGCTTTGCAGCCTCCTCTTCAGCAGCCACTCGCGCAGCCTCCTCCTCGGCGGCTTTCTGCTTTGCAGCTTCCTCTTCAGCGGCCACTCGTGCAGCCTCCTTTTCGGCGGCTATACGTGCAGCGTCTTGCTCTTCTGTGGCGCCCTCAACGTTGACATTATCGGGTGCCCCTTCCTGGGCAGGAGAATGGGATTCCTTGGATGTGTCTGAAGGTATTTGGGCATCTTTGTCACTAGACGCCGTCAGTTTGGGACTTTGTGCTACAACATCAAAAAGAAAGTCAAGTGCGCGAGTCGTGTCAGTTTTGCTGGTAGGCAAGCTGTCGCACACATGTGAGTATGTATGTGTGCGCGCACGAGTCTACTGACCGGTAATAGCATCGACCCACTGTCGAGCGAGGTCATTTGTGGTGGCTTGCAGCTTCCATACACGATCAGGCGTTTCAATCTACAGGGGCGCGGCACAACAACAACAAAAAAAAAAGGTTGAGGGCTGTCTGAGCGGACGTCGCAGGAGGAAGCAAGAACGTGGCTGTAACCAACCTCAAAGAGGCTAGCGGCACGAATGGCAGTCACTTTGGTGGCGTTGTTGAGATCAATGTGGCCTGTCTCGCGCTATCCGTTGACACATCCGGAGTGAGCTGTTCTGCAAGCGCGTGTGCTGAGGTTGGCTCGATAGCACGCCAGTGTAGTACCTCGGATTCCGACTTGTGGTAAGAAAGAATGGGGCCCTTGAGAACAAACCAGCGTTTCTTGTAGGCCTATGGTGTGGGAGATTCATAAGCAGCCTCGAGGTCAAAGTGAGCCGAATTCAGGGCTGGGGCAGGGTGGCGCGCGACAATCAAGGTGCGGGCGCACCGTATTGCCTTGCCCCGCTTTGCTGAGCCAGCCTGATTTGAGCACGGCGTCGGAAGCAGTGGCCGGGGCCTTGGAATTGGTTGCGCCATCCTGGTTCGAGGCAGTGGCAGAGGGCGCATTCTCATGATTATTCTGAGCAGGGGCAGGGGCAGCGGTGTCCTTAGCTGGGCTGGAGGCGGGCTTGGCTTCCTCGTGGGCGGCCTTTGTCTTTTTGCAGTTCCGGCAGACGTTGGGTCTGGAGCGAGCAGCCTCAAACTTATCGCAGGCGTCACCACCACCAGCTGACGCGGTACCGCGTCGCGAACTCAGCGTGCCGCGGCGCGCCGATGCCGTACTGGCCGTCCGACTCCGGCTCCCGCCCTCGACGCTCGACATGATGACGACCGGCGCAAATTCACCGAGCGAGCGGCACAGACAAAGAAAGAGTCCCCGTCCACATAAGGCTCATCAACCTTTCCCCCCACAGCCGCCCCCGACGGTGAAAGAGCTCTGACGGCCACCGCTGTTTTCCGCGCGCAGTCGGTCGTGAGGTCGTGAGGTCGTCGTCGTCGTCGTCGTGCGCGGCACACACCTCTCACAGAGAGAGAGAGAGAGAGAGAGAGAGATGGAGCGAGATGGAGGAAAAATTCCAGAAAGAGGGTTGGAGGTACTGTTTTTGGTCAGAGATGGCGTGTGGTCGTTGAGGGTATGACCTTGTTAATTCAAGGGTGAGCAGAGATGGATAATGTTTGGAGGTGCGAGCATTAATGCAGCCACAGAAGTGAACTTTTTTCAGTCAGAGAGAGGAACAACTGGAATGACATTGAACGATAGTGCACTATAAATCACACTTTAAGTTACAAAACAAATAAATTTATTTAAGAGGGTTGATATCTAATTTAAACCAAGGGCGCGAGCGGTTCTTGCACCTCGAGCTGAAGGACGAGCTTCAAAGTGTGATCTAGATTACACTTTATATTTGTAAAAGTATAATACATGTTACACTTATCTGCATTTGTAAGGTGTCCGCTGTGCATTCAGGATTTGTCTGACAATTGAATTCGCAGGTGAAGCCTCTCTCTGCTACTGGTACCATGGTCACATGCCCTCTCTGATTTCTTGTTGTTTCGACCACGACCTCAAGCCTCCAATTGCTACATACCTCTGCCCACGCACACCTCTCCGCATCATCTCTCTAAAGTTGTTTTTGATTTTTCGTCGACATTTCTTGTGTGTGTGTGTGTGTGTGCTCATGACGGAGAAACGGCAGCCCGGTCGTTCAGTGGATCGTGTACTGCCAGCGTGCTGATTGCATTTGGCTTCTCCGCTCAGGCGTGGACTTGAGCTATCGAGTGACACTGTTGCATTTGAAAGGACGCACTTGAACGGTCGACCACCGCCGTACACGCACCTTTTTTTTTCTTTCTTGTTGACCGCCATCATGGCTCAAGGTTCGACCTTTGGCGCCTTCGGGTGCACACCGCCACGGGATTGCTGAGGGTGATTGTGTCGTCTGGGCTTGCTCTCATGTTTGCTCCATTACGGCATGGCCGTGGCCCTGCATCTGGCAGAAATCGGCTTTGTCTCCCTGCCCAACCAAATTCACCAGCGCGTGACCGAGGCGGGCTTTGACTTTTCCATCATGGCCGTTGGTCCGTCTTTGATCCCCCCCTACTTGCCCCACCTCTTCTCGCCCTTTTGCGCGCGCCCCGCTCACGCTTGCCAGCCATCTTGGCCAAGTGGCAAAGGGAAAAAAAAAACAAAAGACAAAATTAAAAGGGTGACCCAGGTTGTCTCTTACCGTCCCTGCCATGCCTGCTGGCTCGTCCTCCTCATTTCGTGCCCAGGTCAAACCGGCCTTGGCAAGTCCACCCTCATCAATTCCCTGTTCAACAGCGACATTTACATCCGCGAGGACTATCCGTCAGCCAGTGCGTGCATTGCTTTGGTGGTCTTGCCCACGGCTTCTCCACAACCGCGGGTCATCGGTTCAACTATCGGTGTCTTGCTGCCCCTCGCTCGCTCGCTCCCTTGCTCACACCGATTCGCGCCCTTGTTCAACCCCACTGTGCAGCTGAACGCCAGGCCCAAACAATGGACGTCAGCTCAGCCACCGTCATGCTCAATGAAGATGGCGTAGGTGACGCTCGTTTGCTTGGACTGGCTGCTTCCCTCATCAGCCCCTCACCCATGCACCCATGTCCTTGCAGGTGGAGGTGCGGCTCACTGTCATCGATACGCCTGGATTTGGGTCCGCCATCAACAACACGGGTTGCTGGGAAGCCATTGAGCAGTACATCACCCAGCAATTCGAGGCCTACGAGGCCGCTGAAAGCGCCCTCACCCGCACTGAAATTCCTGACACCCGCGTTCACTGCTGCCTCTACTTTATTTCCCCTTCCGTGCACGGGTGCGTCAAGCCGCGTGCCATGTTTTAACGCCAGCGGCACCGCTCGGGCCCACGTCCCTCGTCCCAGCATTCTAAAACAGCCAGCCTCACCCCTTTCTGCACACACCAACGCTTATTTCTGCATTCCAGCCTGCGGGCACTAGACATTCACGTCCTGCGCCGACTGCAGAACAAGGTCAACATCATTCCCGTCATCGCCAAGGCTGATACCCTGACCGATGAGGAATGCCACCTCTTAAAGAAGCGCGTGCGTATCCCCTGGCTTCAACCCCAGCGCCGTGAGCTCACGTGGTCGTGCGCCATTCTTTGCTTTTTGCTCACGAGAACTCCCCCCCCCCCCCCTCTTTGTCCTCCGCCTGCACTGGCCCGTAGGTCCTGCAAACCATCGAAGAAGAGAACATTTCCATTTACCGCTTTCCCGATGAGAGCCAAAATCCGCTCTTCGCCGATGACCCCACCATTCAGCAAGCCCGCTCTTGCCTTCCCTTTGCCATCTGTTCCAGCCAGCAGGTGGTGCGTTCCAACAACGGCCAATCTGTTCGTGGCCGCACCTACCCCTGGGGCACAGCTGAAGGTCCGTTGCCTGACTGTGCCAAACAATATCCACCTGCGTTCTGCTCGGATCGCTTTGTCCATTCATCTTGATCTCATACGAAACCTGCTCATGTCCCTTTAGTTGAGAATCCCGACCACTCCGAGTTTACCCTGCTCCGAGATCTTGTTCTTCGGTTCGTGTGCCGCGCCCGTCGCTCTCCGGATGTCTTCATTCGCTAGGCCTTTGCTCCCTTGCTTTGCCTCGCCTTGCCCTTGCCAGCGAATTGGTGCTCGCCGGTGATGGTCTATTCACGTTGCCAACGCTTGCTTTGATTTGCAGCACATACCTCCAAAATCTGATTGACACCACAAATGACAGTCACTATGAAAAGTTTCGCGCCGAACATCTCTCTGGCATTTCCTTTTCAGAGTCCATGAAGCGCTCCTCGCGGATGGTGCTTCAGAGCGAGAGCAACCCCCTCGACGCCATCAAGACTCACAAAGTGCGACGTTGCTTCTTGCGTTCTCTCGGGATTGAACACCTCCAATGGTTGCCAGCAATACTCACCACAACGCGTGCGATTGCCAATCTCATTGTTAGGCCAAGCACGAGCACAAGTTGGAGACCAAGTTTGCCGAGCTCTACAATTCGTTCCTGGAAAAAGTTGCCAAGCGTGAAGCTGCATTTGCCGAGTAAGTCGCACCCGACTCCAATGGCGACGTGCCCCAGTGCAAGGGCAATCATCGGTCCCAATTGCTGGCTCGTGTGTTTGCATACCCCGGCTTTCGCGTTTGTCATTTTCCTAATCATGGCCGCACCCCTAGCGAGGAAACCAAGCTCAAGCGGCAGAAAGAGGCCCTTGAGATGCGTCTGGCACAACGACGCGATGAGGTCGAGGAGAAGCGACGCGAACTAGAGCAGCAGCGCCAAGAGTTTACACAGCAGCAAGAAGCCAAGGGCACGCTCGCCAAGCGCCGAACCGGCTTTCGCCTCCATTAAGCCCCTGACTGTCTCATGATCTTGGCTTCTTTGTATGTCTTGTTTGCCTCTGTTATGTACATGATACGTATTGACGTGATTAGCATTCCGCATAAGAGTTTGTGTCCCTGTGGAAATCGTATAACTACCATCACGCTTTGCTTGCAACTCGAATGGTACCTCGAGACACAGCGCGGACACTTTATTTTTTTTTAGCGTGTAGCCAGCGAGCAGAGGCAACTTGAAAGGCAAATTCAGCCACGTCCTCACACTCTAACAAGCTGCGGCGCCGGAAAAAAAAGGCAGGAAGAAGAAGAAGAAAAAAAAAAAAAGCGATAGATTTTTTGTGCAAAAAAAAAATTGAGACAAACACCTCCCCCTCACCCTCAAAACCCCTGAACGGCACGCAAAGCTACATGACTGCAGCCTCTAAGCATCCTGACCAAAGTCACGGGTAAACTGATCAATACGCTCCAAATCCTCGTGATTCACTGTCGGCTTGGTGTGCGAGACGGCACGGCGCATGTCATGCTGCGTCAACAGGTCAGCAAACCAGGCGAACAAGTGAGCTTGATGAGTGGTAACCGAACATGGAAAAAAAAGGGCGCATCGCTTGACAAGGAGAGGCGACAAAGCGCACCATGTCTACTGGAGGCTCCAGTAGCTTGCTCGGTTCGACATCCATCCAGGTCATGCAGCGCTTGGAGGGATCTGGGTCGCCCGGGCTGCACGGTGACCACATGTCGTGAGCAATCTCTCCAGGCTTGCCGTGAACAGGTCCGGTCACCTAGAGTGGAGTCAGGCGCAGGTAAGAGTGACCAGAGAACCACACGATGGGAGGAGCCGCGGCACAATAGAAGAACAAAGAGCTTGCGGCAGCGTCGGGGCGCAAGCGTTGGTGCGGTGGTGAGTACCTGCTTGAAATGAGTTGCTTGTTGAACCTTGCGCACTGGTTCCATGATGGCTTCACGGACAACAATGCCAATGTCGGCACCCGAGTAGCCTTCGGTGCAGCCGGCCAGCTCGAGGTAGTCGGCATCAGTCAGGGTGCAGCGCGTGTCGCCAACATTAAGCTTGAACATGACGCGGCGCGCAGCAGTGTCGGGCAGAGGGATGTAGATACGCTTCTCAAAGCTATTGAAGCAAAGAATAGGTGAACAGAGGTCCGAGTCCGGGTGAACATCAGACAGCGCCGAGCCAGAGGAGCAAGAACGAACTCAACACCGACAACGAGAGGGGAAGCTACAACCAGAACGGGAGTCGACGTACCGACGGCGGATGGCCGAGTCCAAGGCCCAAGGCAAGTTTGTGGCACCGAGGACAAGAACATTGTCATTGCTATGACCCACGCCTTGCATCTGCACCAGGAATTCAGTTTTGATGCGGCGCGAGCTCTCGCTCTCGTTCTCAGAACGAGTTCCACACAACGAATCAACCTCATCAATGAAGATGATGCAGGGCGCGCGCTCACGCGCCATGTCAAAGAGTGTCTTGACCAATCTATTGCAGGATGCTTTTTAATGAGAGGACGACAGCGGGATGTGGGCACAAAGGGCTCGACAGCATGCACGGACCAAGCACGAACCGTTCGGATTGGCCCTGCCATTTGCTGACCAGGTCTGAGGAAGACACACTGATAAAGGTCGAGTTGTTGGCTTCTGTGGCCACGGCCTTGGCCAAGAAGGACTTGCCTGTGGACCATTGACCGGTGAGCGTGAAGTGGTGGGGCATGGAGGGGTGAGCCCCCACTGATATGCGTATATGCGTGGGGACATGCGAGCGCACCGGTTCCCGGAGGACCATAGAGAAGAATACCACGCCAGGGCTGGCGTTTGCCAGTAAAGAGGTGTGGAAGGCGCATGGGGAGAATGACGGCTTCCTGCAGGGCTTCCTTGGCGCCATCAAGACCAGCAACGTCAGACCACTTGATGTTGGGCTTTTCCACCACAACGGCCGACTCGAGAGCGGTTTGGAGCGCCTTTTTCTCCGGGTCTTCCTCCGAATCACCGTCTGAGCCACTCCCGCCTTCTACGACGGGCTTCTTCTGTGCAGCGCGGTGCGCAGGATGGGGAAAAGAACATTGAGAATTAAATAAAATGGCCAAGAAAGAGGAGGGGAGAAGGAAGGAAAAGGGATGATGGCTGCGGGAAGCTAGGGGGGACCAACTTTGTTCGCGCCAGAGAGCTTATCCTTGAGTTGTTCAGCTCGAGAAAGATATTCACCGCATTTGGCATTGATCATGTCCTTGGTTGTTTTGTTCTTCTCATCTACGCATGGGTAAAAAAAGTGAGCAGAGGTCGGATTGCTGAGACGGCTTGAGAGTCTGGGTGGAGCTTTGCGTTGTGGCGGATCAGACAGCGGCAAACCCACATTTGAGGCCCATGATGAGATACTGGACAGCAGATTCGTAACCATGCTTGGCCTCTTCAAATTTCTCCTGGCGGTCGAGTTCAGTAGCTTCCTTGGCGAGCTCGATGCCCTTGCGCACCATGTCGTTGGACATGGTCAACGGTTTGTTGGAACTGCGAGCGCTCTGCTGCGCATTAGCTGGCAATCTACAGCACTGTCCAAGAAGTACGCCACATAAAGCAAAGAGTGAGACAAGGAGCAGTCATCGACAGGCATCAAACGACGGCCTTTTGGAGCTCTGGGCACCCGAGTTGAGAAAGGATGGTTCTGGCTGTGACGAGCCCGCATCTGGGTCCGAGTCAATCATGCACACACACCTCTTTCCCAAAAGGGGTTTAAAAAAAAAAAGTGGCCCTCGGTCAACGGAGCAAGATGACCAGTGGTCTGAGCACCGTGATGCTATGCTGCGGAGAGCGCATCGAACGATGCGGTGAGCCGGTGAGCCGGTGAGAGCGTGAGCCGCGGTCCATCATCCCTGACGCCCTAGCTCAAGAGCAGTCGACGCGGTATCAAAATGCATCTACCTTGAATCCCGCACGTCTACAGTAGATTAAGGCCACTGAACCGACCCGATCCGGACGCGACGTCAAGCCGCAAAAAACGGAAATATGACCGCGCTGCCAAAAAAAAAAAAAAGGAAGATCAGTAACACAAAAGGAAATGCTGAAGGGGCGAGAGAGAGGGTTATGGGGTGTGTGTGTTGACAGAGAGGCGTCGAGTTGACGACCGACCACTAGAGGTAAATGCAAGCAGGAGCAGAGAGAGTGTTGGGACTGGGGTTGAGTTAAAGAGAGACAGGCAGGGCCTTTCCAGCTACGTGTGCCCCCGTCCCTGCGGTGCCTTTGTATTCAACTTTACAGAGTGAGCATGACAATTTGAAGAGTATGATGATTCAATTTCAGAGGGCACATGTTCACTTTGAGGATGTGCAAGGGGTTGCAAGCATCATGAAGTCGTCGCGGGTCATGGCACCCACCAATGGCACCCCCGAGCTCCGAGGCTGTGGCAGGGGTAGCCTGTCCAGCACGGCAAGCACGCCCCTAGCAGCCCGTTGCCGCCTTGAAGACGTGACGCATCCATCGCTCAACAAAAACAGATCAAAGAAGCGTTTCAATACACAAGCAGAAGAGCCCTGAATAACGTCCAACGTTACATGTGTGTGTGTGTGTGTGTGTGTGTGTGTGTGTGTGTCACTGACTTGAGGGCGGCGGGGGTGAACTCGAGCGATACGGCAACCACGTTGTTGCTTGGTGGCGAGGTGATGACGGCCGCAAAACTGTATGGACAATGGTTCAGTCGCGGCGCAGTTCCAGGTCTGTCTGTGCTGGAGCAGGTCCAGCCCGAGGGCCTGCAGGCTGAGTGCTCGTTGCGCTGGCCAAGCGCTGAGCCCGTAAGGCTTCCATGGCCCGGTTGGTCACCATCCAGGATGTCCCGGCTGAGAGCACGGCAGCCCCAACTGGGTTCACATTTCAAACAGATGCAAGGAAGACACAGACAGGCAGGCAGGCAGGCAGACAGACAGACAGACAGACAGACAGACAGACAGACAGACAGACAGACAGACAGACAGACAGACAGACAGACAGACAGATACGGACACAGACACAGACACAGACACGAACACAGACAGACACAGACACAGACACAGACACAGACACAGACACAGACACAGACACAGACACAGACACAGACACAGACACAGACACAGACACAGACACAGACACAGACACAGACACAGACACAGACAGACACAGACACGCACACACACAAAAACCCCCGAGATGAAGCGACAAGAAGAGGATGAGGGGTAGAACCGCGGGCCGAACACTCCAAAATGGTCCACAGGATCAATGGCGGCAAAGCCCACTCGCCCTAGCGTGCCACGTACCAGCTGTGACCAGAGGAACGTAGATGTGAAAGGTTGGGTCCGAGCGAGCATAACGCCTCGCAGCCAAGAATATGCCGCCGCCGCCCAGCACCAGCGCCCCGAGTCCATATTTTACCCCTGCGGGTACAAGGGATGCCACGAGCAAGAACGGAGATGCGCTGCAGCATGAGACTTTCAACCATCTCTTCTGGCTTCAGCACCCACACGGAGGCAGAGACACAGACACAGTCAGAGACACGGAGGCAGACACAGAGACAGAGCCAGAGCCAGAGACAGAGCCAGAGACAGAGCCAAAGAGACGAGCACAGGCAGTCAGCGCCAACCTTCCACTTGACAGCCACGCAGGGCCATCAGCTCCTCACGCTTCTCTGGATGCCGTCGCATCACCATTTCACTCAACGACGTCATGCCGGCGATGCAGCTGCTGGTTGCCCTCCTGCCCCACGAGTCGAGTCGCCAGTCAACTGACTGTATCAAATTACATCTGGATGTTAAATTTTTCATTTACAGTCAGACTGGTCATGATGGATCGATGTGAAGTTTGATCAGATTAATAATTTAAATTTCAAATTTGGACGTCGAGATTTACATGTGGGTAAGACTTCTATCAACTTGTTTTTCTGGCAAAAATTGGCGGGGGTGATCAGAGGATCCTCTGACCCCCTATGGAGAGAACAGCACGACTGTGAGAGGAGGAGGCTTCAAACACACCGAACGCGATTGGGCAACCCCTGTGACATGCTCTGAAAATTACAACTTCGACACGATTGGTCATTAACAACTTAATTTTGGTGAAATCATCCGTCGGAAAGAGGAGAAAGAGACAGAGGCTTTCTGTTTGAGACAGTGCATGGGGCTGCCCTGTGGACCGCTTCAGTCAGAATAGCTTTTGATCGACAGGTGAGTTCTCACATTCCATTCGTGTAAATCAAAAACCAAGCTTGAAAGACATCTGAGGTCGACTCAATTACAGAGAAATAAGAACCTCAGTTGCATGAAAAGAAAGGAGAAAAAAGACCGAAACGAGGGCACAAATAAAGTCTTCCTCAAGTGATGACGGAAAAGGGGCACGAGCTGGCTATCTCTAGATAATAGTGGAGGTTGACGAAGGACTGCTCGAAGAGGAAGAGGAAGAGGAAGAGGAAGAGGAAGAGGAGGTCGAGGAAGAGGTGCTCGTGGTGGTTGATGGGGAGGGGGTGGTTGAGGCCAAGGCAGAGGTGATACTCAGCTGGTAAGCACAGGGTACAGTGCCGCCAGATTGCTTAACCACAATATGCAAAACACCACCAGAGCCAGAATCTGTGCGCGCCGTGAAAGGAGTTGCAGAGGCCATGTTGTTAAAGGGCTGATTATCAGTGTCTTTGTACAGACTGTATGCCTCAACGTTATTGAAAAGGCAAGCGCCATTGTTTGCCTGATCAGCTGAGTTGGCCGTTGTCATTGTGACGTTGAACTCATAGTTGGCAGGGATGGTGACGTTGAAGTAGTCCTCGTCACTGGGGCAAGCAAACAAAGGAGAGTATTCACCGACATTGGGGTAGAGCGTTGTTGCTGCAGATGGTGAGTCATTGGGCTCATAAGCGTCGGAACTGCAAGGCGCTGTGCTGGTCGTCGAGGATGAGGAGGACGAGGAGGACGAGGAGGACGAGGAGGAAGAGGAGGACGAGGAAGAAGAAGAGGATGTGGTCGTGGTTGTAGGAATGGCATCTTGAACCTAAGAGAAAGAAAAGAATGAGTGAGGTTATCAACTGCAAGCTACAGAATGGAGACAACCGAACTTACGGCTTGCAGACGAGCGCCAAGAAGGGCTTCGAGGCGCTCTTCGACCAGATCCTTAATGACCTGTTCCTGGCAATAAGCGGTGAAAGGATCGTTTGAAAACGCGGTAGACTCGCAACTCTTTTCTGCATTGACGCTCAACACGGCAACAGCCAAGCCCAAAAGGGCAATCTTGTACATGCAACCCATGGCGCCGGAGCGAGGATGCGCTTGCAATAATCTGCAAGTGTGGGCCGAAAAACAGAGGTCTTGAGCGCACCGGCAGTCCACCACGTTGAAATCCCAACTCAACTGAACGACAATCAAGAAAAGAAATGACTACCGTCGGCTCAAACGATCCAGATTTGTTGACCAAGCCCCACGCTGCGAACAGCGCCCACCTCTCGCTCCCCATCAAAGTCTCTTCCTCCACTCGCTGCTTCGCCCAGCCAGGCAGGCGCATCATTGTCTTGCCTGCCACACCCTGTCTAATGACTTTTTGCGTTTTCGGCCAAGGGGCATCGGGCGATCTGCTCAAGACGAGCTACCACCCGAATGGAATACAGCAAGCAGCAAACGCGTGTGGAATCCAAGTCCCTGGTTGTGGTTTTTTTAACAACAGCAGCGGCACTGCCAAACAACGCCCGCCCGTCGCGCACGCACGCACGCACAAACACACACGTCCTCAAGACAGCACGCAGCAATCACTTACCCTGCTTGCTCAAAGTGAAATGATCAAGTGTGCGTGCGTGTGTGTGTGTGTGTGTGTGTGTGGTGGGTACGATGCAACTTTAAAGAGAGAGAAAGGAGAGAAAAGAGAGAAAGGAGAGAAAAGAGAGAGAGAGAAGAGAGAGTGAGAAGAATGAGAAGAGTGAGAAGAGAGAGAAGAGTGAGAAGAGAGAGAGAGAAGAGAGAGAAGAGAGAGGAGAGAGAAGAGAGAAGAGAGAGAGGGAGAAAGAGAGAGTAAGAGAGAGTAAGAGAGAGAGAGAGAGAGAGAGAGAGAGAGAGAGAGAGACAGAAGAGAGAGACAGACAGAGAGACAAAACGTCAGAGAACAATAGGATTCACACACGACGACAAGGCACGGTGTTCTGCATAAGAACATCACACGTGCTGTAGAAGCCCGAAAAACATTTTGTGTGTGTGTGCGAGGCCTGATGTGGTTTGGCCGTTGACGGTTACGTTTGGTGGTGGCATGTTTGGTGCAAGCCTTATGTTCAGAGAGTCCACGAGATGGGGAACAATAGGATGATTGTGCCAGGTGAAAATTATGGACTAAAGAGATGGTGGTGTTTTTACAACCAAAACTATTCTAATTCCGTTTCGAAGCTCCTTCTTTTGCATAGGTTGTCGTGTTTTTCACAGTTGCTGAAAATGTGTATGGTTTGGTTCGAAGAAAATCCTGCTTAAACTATTGTTACCCCCGGCCAACTGAAGAGAGACGAAGGTGTGGGCACAGGAGAGCCAGAGATTGATCTTTTGTCACAAACAAAACGCAAATGCCAATGGTTGGCAGAGATGGAACCCAGCTCTGTCAAATTCAGAGAAGGACTCGCATTCACAGCGTATGCAAAAGAAGGACGAAACCGTCTGGCGGGAACAGACAGCCCCCGCACAATAATGCGGTGAAGCACAAGGCGAAGGCGGGAGGCGGGTGGCGGAAGCTTTCAATTGCATTTGTTGTCCAGTGCAGTGGTCTTCTGCCTGGCAGATATGGGCCGGCAAGGCTTATGGCGGTGTGTTTGGGGATGACGCATCAGCGGTCAAGTCTTGAAGTAGCTTGCGATCTACAATTATACACGCACATAAAGAAGCAAAACGGGAGTATAAGAGGGAAGAAGGAACCGTCGCCCCGATCAGCGCTGAGAAACGGGCTCACATTCAGCTCGAACAGAGTCATAGGTTTGCGGGCGCTGGCTATGCGTCAAGAGCCGTTGTAGCGTCTGCCATTGACGGCAGTCATTCGATGAATATGAGCAAAACCATGGGGGCCATAGGCGGCTCAAGCAAAGCAGCCTCCCCCACACACACGCACGCACGCACCTTTGGCGCCACGCCCACGGTTCGCAAATACACGTCGATGCTACTCATGCCATCCTACGTATTCGTCCACACCAATGAGTCCAGCGACCCTGGATAGAAGCCAGATGCACAGGACCGGAACAAACCTCGTTTTGACGATCGACATCAGCCCCATGCTGTAGCAACAAATCAATGGCTTGACATCGCTGTCCGGCGCACGCCACATGCAGCGGCGTATCGCCGCTCTAGAGCAAACAAACAAACAAACAAACACGTGCGCGTGGGGGAAGAAGGCCATGAGTCGTCCACGGAAAGCGCCAAAGAAGAAGCACTCGACACTTTACCAGGTTGGTCGTATGGGGATCACAGCCCATGTCCAAGAGTAAGCCAAGCACCCTCACGTTGTGGCCTGAGCAGGCCCCGTGTAGCACGGTGGCCCCCGCCTACCGTACGTGCAGAGGACGTGCAGAGGAAGTGAGGCCACGCAGCCTCCTTCAAAAGGCCCGATCCCGATCCCGGCCCGACGGTTTGTTTATCTTTGCGTGTCAATCGCAAAGCTTACCCTGGTTCTCGACAAAGGGTTGGCCTTGTGGCTCAGTAAAAGACGTACGAGATCAACACTCCCATTGCAAGCCGCCACATGCAAAGCCACTTCCCCCGCCTACGGTAGAAAGCAGCAAACCACGTCCGAAGGAAAAAACAAAACAAAACAAAACGATCGCACCATCAAGGTGAGCCAATGGGTAGGATTATCCCAAGCGTACGTTTCTATCAGCGCACCGTGTTTGGCAAATCAACATCAACGCCTTGCTCGAGCAGCAGCGTCACCACGTCTGCAGCACCATTTCGACAAGCCTCGTGCAAAGGTGTGTTGCCCTCCTAGACCCGCCGCCGAATATGCACGATCTTGAGCGTTAAAGGCGCAAGCTAGCTGCAGCCGAAGCGCTGAAGCATACCTCGTCCTGGGCGTTGATATCCGCCCCATGCCCAAGGAGCTCACGAATCACGTCGAGATGGCGTGAAACGCACGCCCAATGCAAGGGCCGATACCCGCGCTAGGAAACAGGGTAGGCCAAGGCGATCGGACAATCAAACTTCGTCGCTGCAGATGAAAGCATGGTCTGTGAAGACTCACGGAGCGTAACGCCTACCCAGTAAGCCTGCTTGGAGGCCGCCAATATACGCCGGCCCGACCAAGTGGTGAGGAGGTCCATGGCGGCATCGGGCTCATCTTGACTGCAGGCCGTCCACAACGCCCACCCGTCCTCTGCCATGGCAGGCTTCACACAGAAGAGCAGAGACGCTGATATCACACTTCCTATTGTCAATCTGCCAGCGGCTATCTGCAAGTGGCAAGCAGCCCCCGCGCGAAAATGAATGCCCTGATCAGCTTCAGTTGAACCAACAAAAACCCCACCCCCGAAACGGATTTGCCGCAACACCATGAATTGTCAGTGGTGTCGTCCTTGCTTTCATGCACGCATCAGTGTCGAGATTTTATTTTTCTGACAAAACACATTGATCCTTAAAAGTACCACATGTAAGAAAAAGTACTTGACTTGTTCTCCATCAGCGATGGTCAAAAGGGATCGGAGCATGTTATGGCGAGATGCGCCGCCACAGGTACACTCGTTGCGGGGCAAAGATGTCTTTGTTGATCCTTGCGCATTATGAACTGGACCATGCTGGAATGACAGACAGCTTGTGGGGCATGAGAGCCCTCGCAGTGTCATGCCGGGCCGGGGTTGGCTCGTGGGGTGTAATGCACCAATAGCTCGGGGTAGACTTGGTCGTTTTCAAAGAGAATGACTTCGTTATACTCCTGGGGCGGATTGGCCACGACCGAATCATACCTGGCGTCCAGGAAGACGCACAGGTGAGAGCGCACAGGTGAGAGCATGGCAAACCAAAGCGTCGGGAACGCAAGGACGATGTCACGATGCGACAGCACAAACACGAACCGCTCATCGGCCTGTGGTGACGGTAAGAATGGAGGGCTTCGCGCCCCGGCAGGCGGCGAAGGGTCAACGTAGGCGTGGCCGAGGAGGGCACGTGCGATAATGATGGTGCAGTACCCACCTGTGCCAGTGGGCCTCGTGTACTGATGGCTCTTTGGGCAGAGGCGGGGCCACGGTTGGCTCATAAGAATTCCTGGGACGCCCGAACATCGCATGGGAAGACCTCACGCACCTTGGCTGGATGGTCCGTCAGATAGATGCCGTAGCCAAAGCGATGGCCAGCATTTGTGCCGGCCAGGCGCGAGTCTAGGCCTTGCCGAGCAATCGGGTACCTCAATGGTTGGTCATAGGTGGTACCGTGCAGAAGCAGGCGCTCTTGGCAAGGTCCATCACCAAGCAAGCTTGCCAAGCCGGGCAAGCCGTGAGCGGATGCAGCTTGCAGCGGAGCATCATGACGCCCATGGGTGCCGTGCTCCTGCATGTTTTTGCGCTTGGCACTATAGAGGGCCCACAACTTGTCGTTCTGTATCCGCTCGACCCGCTCGATCCGCAGAATTGGTCCAGAGTCGTTCATACTCAACTGCCGCAGCCATGCCGCGACCTAAGCAGAACACCATCGCATGGCATCAGTACGACGCCTTGTACTCGACGTGAAACAAAGGGCAGGACTGAGTCGTCGCGCCACAGTTCGAGACGATTGAATGAACCTTGGGAATCAGGCTAGGGGCGTTACGCAAGGTGGTAAAGGAATGTGCAGCAAAACGTCGCCTCTGCAACACGGCTGAAAGATCGAGGGGTCGCTCAGCGGAATTGGCGGCAAGAAGCTCGCAGGTGGCTTGGTGCAGCGGGCTCTTGAAGTCACACATCTGGTCCAGGGGAACAAGTGCAACAAGTGAAAAATTTACTGTCGCCACACCATGCTGCAGTGGGTCGGGACGGACGTGCAAGCCAAACACACCAAGTCAGTCAAGTGGGGAAACTGGCAGGTTTGACCTGATCGAGGCGGATCCCAAGCACACTTGGTAACCACCTCCTCCAGGAAAAGATCGCTGGTTGTTGGTACTTTGCGGGGATACATGCAAGTGTTGTACAAGACGCAACCAAATGAATAGGCATCCTGTGCTGGGTGAGCATTTGTGGAGCCCAGTCGCACTTCTGGGGCGCTACACGCAGCATCCTCCGAGGCAAAGTCTGTCATGTCGTGATCCAGAGGAGCACCACTGGCTTGCGTACGCTCAAAGCCACTCAGACGAACATGCGGTTGGTCTTGGGCGCCGTTTAGCAGTACACTGTCAAGTCGGAGATGCCCATGGACCAACCCGACATCGTGCATGTGCTGGAGGGCGGCTGCAACCTCTGTAAAAATACCGTATACTACGTCAATCGTTGCAAGTTGATGAGCGTTCTTCAGCCAATGCTGCAAATTTCCTTGGTTACACCAAGGCAGCACCATGTAAGCACCAAGCAGGCCATTCTGCTCGGCCAGGAGCGTGCCCAGTATCGGCATGATGCTGGGGTGCTTGAGCTTCCGCAGTGCGTCGTACGCGCGCAACCACATGTGATCGTGGGCTGGCTTTTGTTTGATGAGAAAGCACTTGACGGCGAGGTCCTGTTTGGGCCCATCGGGCAATGCTGCGTTTGCACGATAGATCTTGAAGTTACCAGTAGCCACCAAGGTCAGAGGTCCCAGATGAGTCAACGACAATTTCTGATCAACCCGGTCTGAGATCTGCTGCAGCGTATCCTGATATGGAGCAGCGTCAGCGCAACGGCAAGGAGAGAGCAGAGAGAAAAAGAAAAGATGATGTCAGCCTGCCCTTGATGTGGGCGTATGTGACTCTGCCTTTGTATCGTGGAGCAATGACAAACGAGTGGGTACGGCATTGCTGGGACGAACCGTCTGGGCTACGGGCGAGTCGGGGCTGAGCTGGTGTTGACGGTGGGCTTCAAAAAGCGGTCTGACTCGACGTCCATGGCGCCGAAATCGCGCAACGTCAAGTGGTGTCTTGCCGTACTACACAGCAAACAATGGCAAACATTCATGTGAGCGCAAACATATTGTCAAGATCAAGCAGATGAGAAAGGGAGAGGCTTGCGGATGCGCTTGCCTGGTTCATGGCGTCGGGATTGACGTGGTGTGCAAGCAAAAGCCGAATCACGTCCAGATGGCCTTGGCTACAGGCCTTGTGAAGTGGTGTGTAGCCGTCCTAGCATGGCAGCGAAATAATGCGGTCAAGGCCAGGGTTTGAGCGAGCTCTGGCAACAGGGGAGGGGTGGGGTGGGGATTAACGCAGGAAGACGGTTTGGAGTTAGTACCGTGGTGGCAGCATCACCATTGGCCTCGTGGTTCAAGAGAAGCCTGGCCAGCTCGACGTGGCCCTGTTCACAGGCTTTGTGCAGCGGAGTCCACCCATACTGTGGATCATCAGGCAGGTTGAGGCGGGACACACGGCGTTGACCAACAAAAGTGACCAGGAGCGCGTTTTTCCAGACGAACATGCAAGTAGGCGTTTGGCCTACCTGTCGGGCCGTATAGGACGCGGCGTCCCGAATTCGCGCTGCAGGCCAGTCGGCAATCAAGTCGAGCGCCAGTTGCGGGTTGCTCTGCCCACAGGCCGCAAGCAACGCCTTTCCGTCACTCATAATGCCCCGTTCGAGCCCGACCGATCTACCAATAGACAGGGACCGCTCGAGATGAGATGGGAGGTGCAGCACTCCGCGCGAACCCGCTGACAATGTCCACCCCCATGTCTTGAGCTTCCTGAGTGCCCATTACCTTTCAATCGATAGCAGAGCCTCCGCTCCCCTTCGCTCTTGAGGTCAGGGGTCCAAAATGCATGCCGATCGCATCTGATGGATCTGCTTGCAAGGTTTGGAGCCAGTTTAACGTTACGACGCCTTGACGCCACTTCTTATAAGCAGATGCAGTTTCACTTGGTAAGGAGTGTACCTTACTCTTCTTTCTCTTCATCTTCCTCTGACGTTTCTTCATCTTCTAACGCGTTTTAAGCTTGATTGGTTAATGTTACATGCATCTTCCCTATTATTTCCTTCATCTTCCTTCTCTCTACACTTGTGTCTCTGTGTCTCTGTGTCTCTCTCTGTCTGTCTCTGTGTCTGTCTCTGTGTCTGTCTCTGTCTGCCTCTGTCTCTCTCTGCTCTCTCCTCTCGCTCTCTCCTCTTCTGCCTTCTCCATTTTCAAGTAGTTTTATTTCCGAAGACGGAATACCTCAGAGAGAGAGAGAGAGAGAGAGATGGCGACCGTCCCTGGCCGCGAGCTGTCGGCGCGTTGCGACGATCAGGATCAGGATCAGGATCAGGAGCAGGAGCAGGAGCAGGAGCAGGAGCAGGATCAGGAGCAGGATCAGGATCAGGATCAGGAGCAGGAGCAGGAGCAGGATCAAAATCAGGCGGTGTGTCGTATTTTTTGCTTGTCTGCCTGCCTGCTGCTCGATTGTTGACCGTGCTTGATGCACCCTCACACCCTTGCCCGCCCGCCGTGATAGGTCTTTGACCCAGGCAGCTCCGAGGCGTATGCCTTGCGGAGAGGGGCGGATCCGGATGAAGCCAAGCAATTCCTGGAACTGATCGATTTGCTGCCTGATCCGATTGAATGGAAGCTCATCTGCTTGGACTGCGACGGCGTCTTGGCTGGCCACCATGCCCGTCATTTGCAGAGCCAGCACTCGATCAGCGCGACTGACGAAGATATCTCACGTGCTCTGGAGCTCGTCCGAAGCGTCGCGCCCCCGGATCAAACCGCCCAGGATGCGGCGACGTGTCGCCCGCCCTTCGCAGGGATATCGGTGATGCAGGGCTACCGTTGTCCATGCTGCACCGCCTGTTTCATTTCCATCGACGACTGGGCCCAACATGCTCGAAACTTGCATCAAGCTGAGCCCGACGCCCAGCAGCAGCCGCGCTGCGTGTCTATGCAAAGGATCTGGGAAGACGATCAGAGCTCAAGCTTTATCGAAGTACAGGGTCCCAAACCACCCACCGGTCCTTTTCCGCCGCTCCACCCGACCTACGAGCGGCTGGGCATGGGCCGATTGCTGCAGCTCTTTGACCGCGAATCAATGCGATTTTTTGGTTTTGGCGAACGGGAGGAGACCTTGCACGAGGCCATGCGCGAACTCGTGCACAGCACATATGAAAAACTGCCACTCTTGGGGATGGCGCGTGGGGTGCTCAGTCAACTTGTTGCCGAGTCGGGCAAGGTACTAAGACTTTACTTTCCGGCAAAACTTTCGCCGTGCAGCTTTGAGTGGCACCTGGAGATTGCCACCCGCTACGTGCTTTATCTGCTAGAGGTCTGGGCCTATCCCACCGAATCACCCAACAACCTGAGCCCGGCCTTGACCAAAGCCTTGGGTGACCTTGCGAATGCCTACAGATACGGCGAGGGTAGCACTCATGCTGCCATGAGCCAAGTGTGGTGTGCCATCTTGGACGACCACACCGTGCCGCCGATCAAGACCGACAATTACTGCCCCAGCATCTTCACGCTGTGTGCCGCTATCCGCAGTGACTACACGTTCAAGCACCCAAGCACCTGGAGGCCGACGCTCGCCGGTCTATTGTGGGTATGCCGCCTCTTCTTGCTGCGGCGACGCGGAATGAGTCCGTACAGTCCAGGTGCACTGACGCAGGACGAAGACGTGCAACAGCGCCTGACGGAGGGGTACATTTGCTATTTTTTGGCTGACCGCCTGGTGAATACACATCCCGACCCAGCCGATCAGGGGCAGCCCGGCGGTGAGAGCGTGGTGTTTGAAGCCCCGACCCCGTCAGGCAACGAGCATCACAGCCTGAGTGTGGGTCCTATCCACCTGAGCCTGGACCAGCTGGGCCAAGGTCTGCGCCGCATGCGTGCCGAGATGCACAGAATCTTGACCGAGGAGCTACTCCTTGACAGCAAGCTTGAGGAGCAGGTTTACGCAGTTTTGCCGACTTTACGGGACAGGGCGAGCCTGGGCCCGGTCAACTTTGAGTGGGCCGGACTGCATGCAGAAGATGCCGACGGCAACGAGTTTACCTCGACGCTTTTTCGCCACATCCTTTTCACCCCGCACCTGAGGTCCCAATTTCTTTCGCCTAGCGCCCCAGACAGACTGATGGTCGCGCCGATTTGGGACTGGCTGTGCGCGCAGCACAATTTTGCCTGTCTGGCGCTTGCCTATGCTCATCTTTCATGCGGTAGGTCCCAAGCTTGTTCTACAATGCACCGCCTGCCTGAGGCAACCGGCCACCGGCTCACTGCGGCGCGGTGTCTAGGGCTGCCTCCGCGTGCAATTAGTTATGCTGATTTATTCTACCGAGACTCAACGTTCAGGTCTCGCAACGTCCTTTACTTTGATGGCTTGGTGACTTTTACGGCGCCGCGCAATGTCACCATCATGGGCGACCAGGACGCTGCTCGTGCCACGTACTACCTGGATGAGGAAGCCAGCAGCATCATAATGACGTACCTATTGCTATGCAAGCCCCTCGAAGCGTACTTTGTCGATTACGTTCGTGACGAACAGGGCAACGGTGTGGCTCCGCAGGTCGCACCTCTGTCAGAGGAAGACCAGGATGACTACGAGGCAGATCTTTTGGCAATGGTCGAAAACGAGGAGGATTTGTATGCCTCGTCGTTTGGCCACATTCAACCGACTTTTGCGGCCCATCTGCCGGCTCCAGAGGACAGCGCCGAGCTGTTGTTTAATCTGGCATTGACAAGTGGAAAAGAAGTGACCCCAGAGCAGATTTATGACGCCGTAGCGACCAACACGAAGCATTTCCTGGGCACATCCATCACCGTGAGCACATGGCGTCAAATGAGCGCGGCTTGGTTGCATGCACTGGTCTTGGACCGGCTGTCTGATTGGGAGGATGCACTCGGCACCCGCTCACAGCCCTCAGCACCTCAAACAAAGCCATCAACAGATCGTCTCATTGCCATGGCTTGGCATCGACTTCTTGGTCTATACAAGGCTGACAAGGCCACCTCCACTTAGACACTCGGCTATTCTGACCGCGGTCATCCAAAACCAACGGGTGCATTCATGTCCTATGCCTCATAGCTCCCATGCCATGGTTTGAGCTTGTGGCTGCTGGACGCCATGGCATTTTTATGCAGCAAAAGGTTATGCTAGTTGACTTCTATCACTCCTATGCCTTGGCTGGCTCCCAGTCATAATTAAATTTTGAACGTTTAATTTGAATCATAACGAACATCATCATAAAAGTTTAAATGCGTAACGCGTTCCTACATTTTCTTACGTTTATTTTAATGATTTTTTTGATGATGATTTGATCATTTTTTAATTTTCTTTTTGACGCGCGCAGCGATGATGGGGCGCCGAGCGGTGTGCGGTCTGGTCGTGGCACTGGGTTATGCGGCGATGCTTGTCACCTTGGCGCGTGGGGAGTTGACGACACGTGCTGGCAACTTGTCAAAGTTGACAACTTTGGCTCCCGATGCCGTGGCTTTCGATGCGACGACTTCCGATGCCACGACTTCCGATGCGACGACTTTCGATGTCACGGCCTTCAATCGCAGCACGACGGCACCCAATGCCACGACTAGTGTGCCCACAGACGGACCCGTGACGTACTCGGGCAACGTTGGATGTCGGCTGGAGGGCGTGCCTCCAAAAGTAACACGCGTTCTCGGCAACATCAACCTGCTCTCATGTACATTTTTGACGGCGACGGATCTGGATGTGCTCAGCCAGCTCGTTGAAGTGAGCGGCGACCTTTTCCTCCAAGTGAGTTGAACAAGGGTCTTTCTATCCGCGTGTGTCAAACTGCAAGCCGTGTTTGCAGCACTGGCTATGTTGTTGTTGTGGCTGCCTATCGTGGATGGATACCTTGAGTGGCCGGCATGCCTTTGACGAGGAGGCCGAGGGGCGATCCTTCAACGTTGCAAAGGTGCAATGATTGTTTGCGAAGCGGCCTATCTGATGCTATCCAGAAGGGCCTGAGCGAGGCGATGAGTGGCAGCAGACAAATGTGGAGAAGGAAATGTATTGGTATGACTCTTGTCGTTCCGAGGTTGCATTTGACGAGCAATCGTTGAGATGGGCAAGATGATCGTCAAGGCATCGCCAAATCTCGAGTTTTTTTTTTTTTTTTTCCTCGTCTGAGCAAGCGAGTCAAGATTTACGGTGTAGACTAACCTGGGTTGTCTTCCACGATCATGGCAACTGGAGGAGCAAAATGGATGTTGCTTAATCCATCTCATCGTCTGCAATGCTGTGTCGGATAGAGCAATGATGACCTGACCAATGTGGATGCGCTTGGGAGCCTCACGCGCGTCGGTGGCAGCTTGGATATTTGGGTGTGTGATATCGAATGTGTTTTTATTCTGAATTTCGTATCGCGTCATAGGCTAGAATCTTGTGTACGCACTGCCAGTGTCTCATCAGCTCTGATGTTGTGTCGGCCAGGACAATTCTGACCTGACGAGCGTGGATGGGCTTGGTAGTTTGATAAGTATTGGCGGCGATCTGAGGGTTGCTGTACGTCATGTTATTCAGACTCGCGGATTGGATTGATGTCGGTGAAACCGAATGGTGCCACTCTACGAGCGCCTCATTGGCTCTGCCACCGTGTTGGCAGTACAATGACGCCCTGCGAAATGTCAATGGGCTTGGGTCCCTTACAAATATCGGCGGCGAATTCAGGGTTATTGTACGTGGTATCATACAAGCTTGCGAGTTCTTGTCAATGCTCTAGAATAATGGCGCCTCATTGGTTATGATGTTGTGTTGGACAGCAAAATCCTCTCCTTACTAGCGTGGATGGGCTCAGGAGCCTTGCCCAGATTAGCGGTAACATGAGCTTCTACGTGCGTTAAAAGTATACAGGACCTTGAATCGTGTCGCAGAAAATGAGCTGGAGTGGTAACATACCGCAAACATCTCATCGGCTATGATCTATGCTACACAGAACAACTCAGCCCTTGCCAATGCTGATGGGCTGCGGGGCCTTACAAGCGTTGCCGGTTTCTTGTACCTCTATGTGCGTCATCAACCTCATGGATCGTCGTCGTAGCAGCGAGCGAGCGTCTCATTGGCAATGATGCTTTGTTAACTAGTACAACGACGCCCTGACCAATGTCGATGGGCTGGCCAATCTCACAAGCGTTGGCAGCATGTTGGACGTTTTTGTAAGACACGTTTGGATCGCGGTTTGAAAGCGGTGGAAAATTTATTCCCACCACACATCGTGTGTTTCATTGGCCATGGTGCTGTGTTGGACAGGATAATGACGCTCTGGCAAACGTTGATGGGCTCAGAAGCCTGACAAGTGTTGGCGGCTTTTTGAGGTTTATTGTATGTCACATGCAGACCCGCAAACTGTGGGTACAAGACGAGTTGGAAATGGTAAAATACTACAAGCTTTTCATTGGCCATGCCGTCGTTGTGCGCAGTTTAATGACGCCCTGGCCAACGTTGATGGACTTGGAGGCCTCGAGAGCGTTGACGGTGACCTTGTCTTTTATGTATGTAAGCCACAAGGATTTGAATTGGCGCGTGACTTTTGTTTGCCTTCCTCTTTTGCAAGCGTTTCATTGGGTTGGTGCAATGGCAATTAGTATAATTCCGCTCTTGCCAGTGTGGATGAAATTGGAAGCCTCACACGCATTGGCGGTGGGTTGTTCTTTTATGTACGTTGTATGCACGAGGCGATAACCTGCACCTGGGAACCAAATCGGCATCACGGTGGTGCAATTGCATGGTTTGATGTCCCTGTAGAACAATTCTGCCCTTGCCAGCGTGGATGGGCTCAAAAGCTTAGAGAGCGTTGGGGGCGACTTGGTCATTTTTGTACGTTGCTTTGATGAGATTTTATGACCTTGATTTGATGACATTCTGCTCACACTGGCTATGGTGCTGCGACGCACAGTTCAATGAGGCTCTTACCCGTGTGGATGGGCTCGGGCGTCCCACAAGCGTTGGTGGCGGTTTATTCTGTTACGTATGTTGCTGAGCAAGGCACAAGATTGGGATCACATGTGGACTCAAAGTCATGGCGTGCGGCACATCTGTCACTGAATGTCCTCGTAGAACAATACCGCTCTTGCCAGTGTCAACGGTCTAGGCAGCCTCCAAAGCGTTGCCGGTGACCTGGAATTTCGCGTACGCCACATGAATCAAGCGGTCGAATCTCAGCGTTCAAATCGTCGTCACAGAGAACGTTGAGTGTATCATTCGATGATCTGCTGCCCCTTGTAGAACAATCCTGCCCTTGCCAGTGTGAATGGGCTTGAAAACCTAGAGAGCGTTGGTGGCGACTTTTTCTTCTATGTCAGTTGGAGGAACTGATGAGACGTGGCTCGCTGATCGGCTACGATGCCTTTCTGTGAATGTCTCACTTGGGTTGCTGATGATGACCCATAGTACAATCTGGCTCTTACCAGTGTGGATGGTTTCGGAAGCCTCACAAGCGTTGGCGGCGGTTTGCGTTTCTACGTACGTTGCATGCGTGAGATCAAGGCCTGCACTCGGATAGAAAAGTGGGTCGGCCCATGTCATTGAATGTTTGCCTGTTTCTTGAAGAACAACTCTGCCCTCAACAATGTGGACGGCCTCGGAAGCCTCAAAAGCGTTGGCACCGACTTGGAGTTTCTCGTACGCCACACGTTCTGGTGATCCAGTCTGATAGTTTAGCTGTGGATCGGTTATTGTCGTCCTGAGGTTCCTGTGGATGTTCGGATGTTCTTGTAGAACAATTCCGCTCTTGCCAATGTGAATGGGCTTGGAAGTTTGGAAATTGTTGGCGGCGACTTGGACTTTTATGTACGTACTCTGGGCAAGCTTGCAAATAAAATGTGGTTCGACGACCTGGTATGGTGGCTGACAATACGCCTCTCATACTATCATGTTGAATAGGACAACGAGGCCCTTGTTAGTATCGGAGCGCTTGGGAGCCTTACAAGCGTTGACGGTTACTTAAGGCTTGTTGTACGTTGTGTGATGACTTTGCTGAAGATGTTACGTTGACATGCCTGCCCCAGCGTGTACCAAAACTCTGGGCCAAGCGGCTTGACATTTTGCTTACTTTGCTTTCTTAGTTCACTGACTGCCGGCAGTTGCACGGTCTCGACCTGCTATCTCCTGCGCTTCGGCTTCTCGAGTTCACATGCCGTTATGGCGTGACCGAGCTTACCAAAAGCTATTTACCCCAGTTCAACCAACTCGAATACCTTCAGTATCGTTTCCAGCAGAGTGCCGTTGCGGGTGTCAAGGAACATGCTCTCACGAGCATCACTTACGATGCTTGGTGGAGCAGCATGAATTTCCATAGCCTACAGCACACTGCCATGGTGGTTGTGACACCAGACATTCGTTGTTATGGCAGTGGAGATCATGACGCTCTCGTATCGATCAGGTGCAGTTGCTACGATCCACCCTACGAAGACGCCCCCTTTTGCCCCAAGCCAGCTGAACACGTAGAGTGCCCATCTTCTGGTAGCATTCTTGATATCGTTCAGGTGTGCAATGGTGTTGACGATTGTCCCAATGGGGAAGACGAGGCTTCGTGCTTTGGTACCCTGGAATTACGCTCCACAAGTCGCAACCTCCCTTCCTTTCAAGAACTAGATTGCATTAGTGAGGTGAAACTTAGGATTGAGCGCGGCGTTATGCAATCCACTCTGCCTCGTGGTGCCCACAATCACTCGTGTTTCCCTTGGCGCGGCGTCATACGCAATTGGGATGCTGTTGAGCTGCACTTTGCCCTCAGCAGCGCTCGGTGCGTACAACTAGCTTTTAAGCTGAGCCTTGCGTCAAAATCATCCGTTCTCCTGCAAGTGCCGCTCTCAGATTCCAGTCTTTATGTTGCCTCACCAAAGCCCGGACCTGCTGCATCAATAGCATTTTAGTGCCGGAGCGTCCGAAACCTTGGGTGGTGATGGCGGTCACCTTGCGCTCGACCAACTCTCTCAGCCAAGATGTCCCACTCCTTGTTGGATACCAGCTCAGAGAAGGGAGCCTGTTTGGCCTCACAGGCGACAGTGCCGCGTTTGGCGAGAGCCTGCCCCTACCTTCGCTTTTGGGATTTGACGCTCAGTATTCGGCCCTGGTCACGAGTGTCACGTCGACGACAAGACTGCCTGCTTTGACCTCTCAGGCGAAGGGGTCGTCCACTGGCATCTCAGCCTTGATTGTGGTCGTGGCAGTTGTGACGCCGGTCACGTTGCTGGCAGCGGTCGTCGTGATCGCATATACGATGCGACGACGTCCAGCGTTTGAGCATCAAGCCCTTGCGCTCGTGCGGCAAGCTCGTGCAGACTTTGCTTCTGCCTATCCTCAATTGCGTGTCATGCCACTTGAGGTTTTTGACCCCAGCGCAATTACAGCCGAGCATGTCGTCGGTCACGGGCACTTCAGCAAAGTTTACCAGGTTAGCAGAGGGCCCTGCTCAAGCACCAACACTCTGGATTGTGCATTTTGCTCACGTGCCTGCGTGAGCAATTAAAACTTGCAGCTGTCTTGATTTGTTTGTTTGCTATCGCCTTGACGTGTTTACCTCGCGTCCTGCTGCAGTCAATGGTGCTTGCCTGACACGCAACTCACGGGAGTTTCTGATTGCCAGGCAAGCTTGCTAGATGGTGCACACGAGCCGCATCCTGTTGCCATTAAAGAATGCGATGCCGACAAAACGACGGTGAGACACTTTTTGTTGTGATTTGGAAACTACCTTTCCTCAAGAGAATAACTGCAGGACGGCCTCACCTGCTTGCATGGGGATGCCGCTGAGGGCGGATCTAGCTTTCGGCATGGCTGCGTGAAATCATGCTCCTGCATAGCCTTTGCGATCGACCCGACATCATCGGGCTTCATGGCGTATTGCTCAGAGCGTACGTCTCTTGTTGTCTGTGTCAGCAGTTGAGAACAGTCGAGGTGTGGTTCGAGATTTCTCGCGCTTATGAACTGATTGCTTTTGGTGGCTGTAGGACGGGGCAATCAACTCTATCAGTCGTGCTGGAATGGGCACCACACGGCAATCTTCGCGACTTTATTCGAAGACATCCACTGAGTGAGACGCAACTGCACCAAGCTTTGCGTCAAACAGTCAGTGCCTTGGCATATCTGGCCAAGCTTGAAATTGTGCATCGCGATGTCGCTGCACGCAATGTGCTCGTGATAACAACCAACCCAGCGTTGGTTTGTAAACTGGGCGATTTTGGCTGTGAGTTTCAGATCCACGACTTTGGTCGGGATTGCTCATCGGCTTGTCATGATGCAGCACCCAGACAATTTGCACATCAGTGGACGAATGGTGTGAACCTCATCTTGATGTGTTTTTCATTGATTTTTTTTTTTTTTTTTTGTGTGTGTGTGGCAGTGTCCCGGGTCATGCCAAGCTCGGAATATTACAAAAGTGTTGCGGACAGCGAGATGCCATATCGGTATGACGTGCTCCCTCCACAGAGGGCTGGCTCGCATTGTACTCATCTGCCATGGGCTTTGGATCATTCACACACATTCAGATGGATGGCACTCGAGTGCTTGATGGAACGGCGATATTCCGAGTGGTCGGACGTTTGGGCGTTTGGGGTTTTAGTGTGGGAGCTAGTCACTGGTGGCGCAACTCCTTGGCGAGGCTTGGGCCTTCCCGCCATTATTCAACAGCTCAAAGCGGGCGCCACACTGAAGCTACCTCATGGAGCTCCTTTAATTGCGCAACGGTGCGTTTACTTCTGACATCTCTGGTTGTGCTGAGCCTGTGGCACATTCACACAAAGCCATGCAAATGTGTCACAGCATGGTAGCAGCCTGTTTTCAAGCCGCCCCGGAATCCCGATCTTCTTTTGCCCAGTTGCACGGCTTGCTTTCACCGCAACACCACACCGCCTGGGTTTGTTTCGTCTCAAGGCTGACCATGCGAATGAACCTTGCTGCTCGTTGCTTCCCTTGGTAACGCGGCCTCTTGGCCGTGTGCGCCCGTCTCATGCGTCCTGTGCTCTTTCGATGATGCCAATAGACGGTGGCCAGTGCACCCGGCCTGCACGATGAAACGACACTCTGAGTGACGATCAAACAATCAAGCTGCTCTAGTGGGCCCAAACAAACGAGAGCCAGTGGACAGTCTCTGCTCTCAAATTTCTTGAGCAGCCAAAGTCTCGCATGTACCTGTCGCCCATCATGGCGATTGTGCCCGATCTCATCGACAACGTTCTCGCTCTCAAATACGTCTGATGATGTTCAATAGCTGCTGTTTAATTTACGACATTTAACGACCTCCACAGTCTTATGTTTTGTTCACATGTCAAGTACTTCACGATAATCTTCAACAGCTTGTCTGTAATCTCCGTGACCAAGACGGTTCATCACTGCCAGTGCTTGGCGCCACACAAGCCACGAATTTGTGGCTGAAGCGTGACAAGCTCTTCAAGCTGGTGGATGTGAAGGATGAGCATCAAGCTGAGACCATGCTTCGCGCAAAGAGTGGCTCATATGTACGTGGTCATCCAGTCGCCTCGAGTCAGGACCACCAGCGCACAGGTGTAAGAGACCGTGGTCACGCAAACAGTTCTTGAGGTTGATGCTGAGGGTGACAGTGACGACATGACTCCTAAGCTGTTTTAAGACGTGGCTGAGGTAGCCAAGACGTCCACGCCAGCAACGGGCCGCGAGCCGTGGTTGGGGCTGCGGCCTCGGCTGTGCGAAAAGCGCGATCTCAGGCTGAAGAGCGCCGCCGAGAAGGTCTCAACGTTGGCATTGTACCGACGTCGCCTTCCCTCTCTGCGCGCCAAACACAGGGTGCAGCCAGATGGGGGCAAGGGCGTCTCGCAAACATTGCCCACCCCTCCTCATGGACCTGGTACTCGCCATACCACTATCATTGGAAGCGTCCTTTAGACTCGGTGATCAACGCCACCGCACGGGCACCGTGGCGGTCATTTGTGGCGCCAGGGAGTGTTGATGATTAAGTGTTTGCTCTCTTGGAGCTCGAGCTGCCAGGAACTTGAGCAAACTCGTTCGCCGCCGAGAATGGTTGCTCGCACCCAGGCTAGGGAGAGACCGGAAGCGCTGTACCGGTGAGCCACGGGCTTGGAATGCCATGGCTGGCAAAGGAGGTGATGCAGACGGGTGTGAAGCTTGTGGGGGTGGTAGAGGGAGGAGACTTCATTTTATTGATCAGCTCGGCGCTGTCGGGAGTAGATGCTACGGTCGCGATGGCAGAAGCGGCCAAGGCTGGGTTGCACGACGCGGGCAAACACGGTGTGTGTACGTGCAAGTTTCAGTTTTGCGGCGCTTCGGGGTCTGCTCGTATGACATTCTCAGAACAAAAGAAAAAAAAGGTGTAAACGTGTGTGTGTGTGTGTGTGTGTTAGCGTCAAATCCGTGCTTCCGAATCAGAGCACTCCCACTGCTTTCGCACACTCAGTTTCGGTCACTATGGGTCTTTTCACTGAAACCCCCATAGCTGCTGTGACCTCACACATACACACCTACACTTAGACCCCCCGATTCCTGGCACACGCCTTGGGGCCATAAGCTTGTCACGCCTGTTGTTTCTCCTTGTTGTGACACCTGCGATTGGGCAAGGGTTGCACTTTCCCTATGTTTGGGATTGAGCGGCTCTACAGCGATTCTAACGGTGCACCTGGTCTGGTCACTGTGAATGCTTGCCGACCGCAGCT